TTTTTTTTTTAACATTTTTCTTACGTTGGTTTCTATTGCTTGTAACCAGAGAACCTTCCTGTCAGCCCCTCTTGTTATTTAAGTAAGTTAGTTTGAGTGGCCCTCTGTTTCCGGCAACCAAAAGAAACCCAGCCTGCTGAACCATTTCCCGGATTCCCCTCTGGTCCTGTTTCCAAGGACGCTGCACAGATACCTTCTGTGTGAGCTGACGCCCTGGTGTGGACTGATGAAAGCGCTGGGTGGTGACCACAGCCCTCCCCTGGGGGACCCACCTGCAGAGAGTCCCAGCCCTTGGCTTTGCTGCAGGAGATGATGCTGCCTGGGAGAAATGCAGTTGGCCCTCTCTAGAAAAAGACTCAAACCTCCTCCCAAACTGCCTCCCAGCCACGCTCACCTCCTTGTCACTTTCTGTAGGGCTGAGCCCTCGGGGCCCTGCAAGCTCAAAGCTTATCCCTCCCTGCAGGCCAGGCCTCCTTCTGGCTCACAGCCCACAGCCACCTCCATTCCCCATAGCCCAACAGTGAGAAGAGTGTTCTAAATGCACTAGAAAATAATAATGACTCCCAACTGGGGCGGTTTCACATCTGTCACCTTATTTCTTGTCCCCCACCCAACCATCCTTTGAGAGCAGTGTCTCCATTATACAGATGAGGGAACAGGCTCAGAGAGGTTAGGTGACTTTCCCAAGGTCACATATCTGGTTGGAGATGGAATCAAGTGTGTTGAAAATGCCTGTGAGCCATGAGGCACCCACGTGGTGTTCACCTCCCGCCTCCCGCAAAAGCTTTAAAGCTGTGATTGGCTCTCTCTTCTCTTCTGAGAAACCAGGTTCCTGCAGGCGCTGGATCCTGCCTGACCCCTTTGGCCATATGGTGGGGCACAAATTACTTGCATTAAGTAGAAGGAGGTTTTCCCATTTCCCTTGAAATCTTCTACTTCTCTCAGGACTAACAGATCTGTGATGAAGGGGATGTGATATAAATAGCTAGTTTCATGCTTAATCAAGTTTCATGTTCCATCTTGCTCAAAATGTTTACCACTGCAGAGGAGGGACTTCTGTCCCCCTCCTGCAGGCTGTTACCTCTGTACTCCCTTATACCCTTATTACCCGAAAGTAGAAGTCACAAATCTGATTGGCCAGGGTCCAGAACATTCCTTGGGCCCCATGTTACCAGTGGGCAGGCTTACTACATCTTAAAAGTCAGTACACATGTGCTCCTATTTATTTCAAGGTAACGCCTGCCTTGGGGAGCAGGCCTAATCAGGCTCTTCTTTCCTGCCTCGTCAGTGTCTACAGCCGAGTGGGCAAATGGGGCCAGAGCAAGAAAGGGGCCTCCTTTATACCTTCAGCCCAATTTCAGAGCTTCAAAGCAGCTTTCTCTTTAGCTCAGTTATGAACAAAGTGGTATTTTGTTTCTCGTTTAACTGGTGGTGTGCTAGTAAACGGTTTAACAACCAACAGTCTGGGAGAGTGGAGGTGGGCAGAAACAAACGGGATTTCTACCTTCGCCAATTTCCATGGTGTAGAAACTGTCCCGATGGCCAATATCATATGCCAACCTGACATTCTTAGGAAGTAAGCAGGAAGCACGTTCGTACACCATTATATATGGTGTGCCAGAGACATCGCCTCAAGAACATAAGTAATTGCCAAATAGGAAGTGAAGGATTTTGAGTATTTCTTAACTTAGTTGTAAATATACTTGGTGAGTTGATACAGTTTAATTTTTAATAATGGCTGTATTTAACAACCAGCTGACAAAATTCCTGAATTTTAGCAACTGGCGCTCATGAGCTATTCAAGCCGGCTCTGGCACCCGGTGCATTCAGCTATTATTCCTTGCATATGCTCTTCTCTCAATCAGGACTCCTATCCTTTTCATCTGCCAACGTCCTTTTCTTTGGCAAACAGCTTCTTCCATTCCATTTTGTTCTGGAGGAGCCTCTCTTCCCTCATTTATAAAACACGCCAAGAGTGGTGCTTATTCTACAAGGTGATGGTGAGGATTAAATGAGATTGTTCATATCAATTGTCTCCCTCTGCGCCTGGGACACGGTGTGTACGGAATAGGGGGCCAATCTTGTGCTCATGGGCAGGGGGGAGGTTAGGGGTTAGCAGGAGGTGGGAGCTATTGGGACTGGGAAGGGAATGGGAAACAGGTCCCCCTGGCTATACTGCCCTTGGTTTTCCCCACCTTCTCATTAACATTCTCCAGCCCCTCTCAACTGACTTTGCCCGCCAGAAGTTTTTCAGGGTGAACAAGGGAGCTTCCCTGATAGCCACCAGCCTGGGGCAATAGGAATCTGCCTTCTTCCTGGGGAGGGGAGACAGGCCTGGAATCCCTGCCCAGGGTGAGAGGGCTGCTATGGGTAGAGCAGAGTTTACAAACTCTACGGGACTGCTGAGCCTTTATTTTATTTGGTCCGAATTGTGTTCTGGAAATATTTGCATTTGTTGCTAAGATTTAGAAAGCAGGAGCTTTCGCCTGACAGCGTGCTACACTCCTGGCTGGGCAACAAGCAGCTGGAAGTCAGGGTCGGCTGCCCACCCCCCCACCCCCGCCCAGCCTCAGCTCTGCAGCTGGCCCCTCTCCACCTGGTTCCCCGCACCCCTTCCACGGTTTCCAGCTAGGCCTTGCAGGCATACACATTTGCGTCCTCAAGCACGGGGTCGCTGCACAAACTTTGGGGAGCTAACATGTAAACAAGGTGTGCAGGAAGTTGAGGGTGATAGCCATGTGGCACCTAGGGGAAGGTTCCAGGCACAGGGGGGCTGGTGCAAAGGCTGAGGGTGGGAGCATACTGGGATGTTTGAGGGCCAGCAAGAGCCCAGATGGCTGGAGCAGGAGTGAGGGCAGCATGATGGGGTGAATGCAGAGGGTCCTTCCAGGTGGGACTCTACAAGCCACTGCAGGGACTATAACTATATAATGGTATGCAACTTCCCGGGGTTCCTCGCACCCATTTCCCCATTTACCGTCATCTGCATGCTCGCACCACGGACGGAACCTCCTGTGATTGCAGAGGAACCGTCTCTGCCCCCACCTAACGCCGATCCCTCCACTGTAAAGTAGGTCCCACCTCTCTTGTCCACTTGAGAACACCATTCCAGCCATGCGCCATCTACATCGTCACTTTTTCTCCCTCCGCCCGAGCACAAACAGTCATTTTTCTCTTAACAAAGACCGCTCAACCCCGCTTGCACTGACAGTTACTGCTCTAAGAGGCAGCTAAACGCCTCTAAAGTCTTCTCCAGCCATGGTCTCCAATTCACCTCCACCCCCTTCTCTCTTAAAACGACTCTGGTCAGGCGTTAAACCCCTCTCACTCAACCAAAACTACACTTGACAAGATCACCGACACCAGATCCTCGTAGCCAAGTCCAAGAGGGCATCTCAAGCTCGCGGTGCCGGGCCGACCAGTGCGATTGGTCCGAGCTGACCACGCCCCCTCCCAAACACCTCCTCCGCTCGGATTTTTTTTTTTTTTTAAGATTTTATTTATTTTTCAACAGAGAGAGTGAGAGAGGGAACACAAGCAGGGGGAGTGGGAGAGGGAGAAGCAGGCTCTCCGCTGAGCAGGGAGCCCGATGCGGGGCTCAATCCCAGGACCCTGGGATCATGACCTGAGCCGAAGGCAGACGCTTAACGACTGAGCCACCCAGGCGCCCTCCTCCGCTCGGCTTCTAAGACGCCTGATTCACTGCTCACTCCTTTCCGTTCTTTTTTGCAGGAAGCCCAAACGCCACAAATTCTTTGGCTATGATCTACAGTGGCTGCAGGCAGAGCGAGGGCACAAGGGAATCCAGATGCCAAGCATCAAAATGTTACACTCGATTGAAGACCTGTTTTCTAAAATACTTTCTCCTTTATTTGTGGGCTTGTGTTGCTGAGCTCTTGCTCCTTTTTGCCAGAGAGACAGCACCTGGCTGCAGGGGTGGTGCAGTGGGGGGCACCCCACAGGACATAAACACCTCTGACCCAGCAAGGGGGAAAGGGCGGACGGGCCTGGGCCACATTGCGCAGCACCACCGCTTCTCGGTGGATTATTAGTTATGACAGCCTCCTACCTGCTTTCCCTGTTTCCTCCTCAGTCTATTCTCAACTCAGAAGCACAGGTCAGATACTATCACTCGGCTGAAAACCCTCTAACCACTCCTTACTCCACTCGAGTCCCTGCTATGGCTTGCAGAGTCCCACCTGGAAGGACCCTCTGCACTCACCCCTATCATGCTCCCCTCACTCCTCCTGCTCCAGCCATCTGGGCTCTTGCTGGCCCTCAAACATCCCAGTATGCTCCCACCTTCAGCCTTTGCACCAGCCCCCCTGTGCCTGGAACCTTCCCCTAGGTGCCACATTGCTATCACCCTCAACTTCCTGCACACCTTGTTTACATGTTACCTCTTCCAGAAACCTTATTTAAAATGCCACCCTGCTTTCCTCTGACCCTCCTGACCAATTGCCTGTTTTTGTTTTCCCCTTAGCAGGTCATCTATGATACTGTATTATGATTTACTTATTTATAGTATTTATTGTCTGGGTCTCCCCCACTCCCAGTCCTGAGTCCGGGAGGGCACATAACAAGTCCTCGGTACTTCTTAAATACGATTTTCCAGGAAGGACCATAGCTTTGACCAGATTATCAAAGAGTTTTTTGGCCCAAAAACTATTAAACAAAACACTTCCCAGGACTAAAGCTGTTTGAAAACAAACCATTTGTTCCAGTCCTCAAAGAACCTTTCTGAGCAGGGACACAGCAACCAAATATATATTGCCCTTGGGTTTTCCCAACTCCCTCCACGTGGCAGTATTGGGTGTCCCCTCCATGGTCTCAGGAGCCCCTGAATGCCAGCTGGGCAGCAGCTTCTAGACCCTGTGAGAGAGCAACCCCCCACCCCCACCCCCGGCTGCAGCACAGAGAGGAGACAGACCATGAGATTTACCCCACAAGTGGGCACTGTATGTGGAATATACGCTGGGAGCAATGAGAACAGCAGGAAATACAGAACAGAAAATAACGATCTTTGAAATGACAACAAATGGGACACATTATCTAAGCACTAACACCTAAGGAGGCGGCTGCCCAGGCTCCGGTGGGCAGCTCCTCAGGAGAGAGAGGCCGACTTCTTTCCAGCCTGCCTTGTCTTCAGTCCTTGTAGCTTTTCATCTTTCAGTGCCTTCAAGAATTTATCTGCAGGAGAGCAAAACAAACACAGCTGTAGTTAAGATAAGGGCTTTTCTAACACTTCCAAAGTAAGCTTCTGGGAAGTAATTGTCTGTTCCCTGCATGAACCCAAAACCCAACATGGGAAGGAAAAAAACCGTAACAGCCAAAACGTGTTTTAAGTGGGGAATACGTAGTAAAGAAATCCAGGACTTGGAAAAGCCTGTCTTCTAGGGATTCTTTCCATGACTGTGGGGAAAAGGACCTTACAGGGTGCCTGATGAGTTGGGGAACATTCTCATGGCCACATTAACCTAAACATTTAGGTTATTTCATACTCCCCTTCCCTGTGTGGCAAGAGAGCCGATTTAACCTGTTGTTTTTGTTTTGTTTTGTTTTATAATAGTGGGGATGGTCTTTTGAGAACAATGTGCCCTCCTTCATTGTTATACTGCAAGCCTTAGAACAGGTGATGGGAAGACAAAGTCTGCAGAAGAGCCTATGGCTACTGAATATTCTATAGTGTGATAGGTCCTTATGGAAGTAGAATCAGATTTAACTTTACCCTCCAACTGGAAGGATCCGTTAGCTTGCATGCTAGAGGAATCCTGCCCACATCAGCACACCTGGTCTACCCTGATCCAGATCCCTAAGACTTTAAACCTAAGATCAGAGGGCAGAGTTCAGGACCCTGGTGAGAGGGCTACCAGGACCGGGCCCAGGGTTCACAGGGAGGTTTCCTTCCAGCACTGAGAAGTGGAGGGCCCCAAAGCCCCTTAGTGAAATGTCCTTGGGATTCCTGGGTCTTGCACAATTCCCACCTCTACCTACAGACCCTCCAACTGGTGTTTGCTTCCCCCTCCTCCCATTCAGGACCGCCGCTGAAGATAAACACTAAAGCTCAGGTCTGTAGAGGTAGGGATTGTGGGTCGTGGGTGATGGTAATATCACTACCATAGGGGTCGGGGGTGTCACGGTGTAGGAAGTTTAAAGTGCAGGATGGGGGCTGTGATGGACGGAGTTCTAGGTTTGGAGGCTGAGTCCAGATTACCAAAAGGGCTCAGGATGGATGGAGGGTGGAGTTTGGGCCAAAAGTGTTCATGAAATCCTGGCTGTGGTGAGCGAAGCGTCGGTTGAAATCCAAGATGGGGGAGTCGGGGTGCTGAGAGGTGTGACTGGGTGCTGGAGAGGTCGATCTGGGATCTGGGATCCCTGGGGGCTGGAGTCTGAGCCCGAGGCCACACTGCGGGGCAGGGGATTAGGAAGGCATGGAGCCAAGGAGGGAGCCAAGGAGCCAGCCAAGGCGGGCTAAGGGGGGACTCGGGCAAGGTCACGCACAGCGCTGGGAGTCGAAGCCGTCCCCAGTGATGGTGAGCAGCTCCAGCTCCTTAATCCGGATCTCCAGCTCGCATAACTCCTCGGGGTGGGAGGCGGAGGCGAGCCGGGGGGTCGTGGGGCCGGGGGCCAGAGGCGAGGCAGCCACCTCAGGCCCCGGCGGTGGCGAGTAGAAGAAGCGCAGAGGCTCATAGGGGATGGAGGCCAGGCCGGAGGGCCAGGGCGGGGGCCACGGGCGCTCGCTGGGAGGCCCCAGGCCGGGTGGCGGCGGCAGGGGCGCCGGAACCTGGGGCACCTGGGGCAGGGGGCGCCCCGCCACCGCCCCGCCCGCCGCCGCCCCGCCCGCCTTCAGAGGCACGAAGAGCTTCTTCCAGATGTTGAAGTCGCTGAGCGGGGACGAGGAGATGCCGCGGTCGTAGAGGGAAGGGAAGTAAAGGGGCGGGGCCGGCCGCTGGCTCATGGTGGGGCTCTGGCTGCCGCACCGCCCCTTCGGCATCTTTTGAATGGGAAGCTGCGAGGGAGGAACCCCGCGCCGGGAGACGCGCGCCTCAGCCCGGAGTCGCCCGGATTCTGAGGTTCCACAGGCCACGCCCCGACGAGCGCGGCCCCGCCCTTTCGGCCTGCCCCGCCCCGAGCCGGAGGGGTTCTACGGTCCGGCCGGCCACGCCCCAGGACGAGCCCCGCCCATTGACGGCAGGCGGCGACCCTGGAGCCGGCGAGGCTGGGCGAGCGGCAGGGATGGGAAGTCTCGCAGGCGCGCACTAATCCGCGCTGGCCGCACCTCTGGTTTTCCGCTACGCCGGGCGGTCGCCCCACCTCCGCTGTCCTCTAGCCTCCCATCCGGTCCGGCCCCTCGACTCTTCCCACCGCCCCTACATTCCACAAGCCTCGCTCCCCCGGTGTTGCTCCCTTGGCCCCAGCTCCAATCTCCCATCCCAGCAGAACCTCAGAAAAAAACAGGAAGCAGGGAGCTGGCCAGAACTGCAAGATACATTTTTCAGTCTTCCTCTCCTTTCATAGGGAGAAAAATATTTCCTAGAAATCTGCCCCCTGCCACAGCCGACTTCGCTTAGCACCTCTCGCCACAGAGTATCTGGGGAAATGAGTTACCATCCTCTACAACGGGAGGCAAAGGAGAAGAGTGTTGATTGGGATCGGCTGTTGGAGCCAGCCCATGTTTCTGCCAAATTTCCCAGTGTTGTGGAAGATTCTGGAGAACGGGACCCTGGTATGGATTTGTAACAGATCTGAAGTAGCATGTCTTCAATGAAATGCAGGTTACTTAAGTTCTTTTCCAGACACATTATTAGGCGCTAACAGGAAACAAGCCACCAAAGAGAAATCCTGCTGCACCCACCTCGAATAGCTCACCCATTCTTTAAGAAGGACCTGTACATATTGTCCCAGGCGGCTTGTCCAGCTCATTTTACATGCGTAGCCTGTTATTAGCCACAGACTGAGGGGAAGTAAATTTCCTTGAAAACTTCCCCCTAGTGATCACTGGTGTGAATGGACAAAGGTGGGTGGGGGCCAGTTTAGGCTGTTGGCCAGCCAAGATCTGAGTCAGTACCAGCTCCATTGGCAAACGCTACATACGTGTATACGGCTATATACATATGGTTCATATAGGGGTCTGTGTGTGTGTGTACACGTATGTATGTGTGTGTGTGTAGATATTAGGAGTGAGCTGGACAGTTAGGCAGTCAGGACTAGGGTCCCCACAAGAAAATACGGAGTCAGGACAGCTAAAACAAAACAGCACTGACATCCTGTTCTGCAGCTTAGAAAGGACTGCACTAACATTTTGCTTTGCAGCCTTTGCAGAAATGGCTTCTGCAGAGTGTCCTAAAATAAGACAACCCCAAAGCATTTGTCAATATCACGGGCAAGGGACAGTTAAGACAGATGTCAGCAAAAAAAGACCATCAGCACAGAGACATTAACCTGATAGGCAGATACGTGACCAAAGCCCTGAATGGCATGACTCAGCACACACCCTGGTTGCTTAAGATAGCTCCACAAGAGAGCTCACAGAAGCCCCTAAACTTAGAAACTTTGAGAGCAACCCACTCACACTCCCCTCCCTCTCCGGGAGCTTTATACTCTTGCTCAATGAACTTTGCTTTGCTGCCCACCACTCTTCGTCTGGTCTACCTCTTCATTCTTCCAAGCAGTGTGACCAAGAACTGCGGGCACTAAGGGGACAAAAATCCTGTAGCATATATAGCGGGACAGCGGACAGTCAGATGTCCAAGGTGAATAACTTTGGGTACATTGCTTGACTTCTACGAGGGTTTTCTGTAAAAATAAAAATAAGAGAACCAGGCTGCCTCATACCGTTGTTTGTGATGACCCAATAGAAGACAGAATGATGGGTGTGAAACACTTGAAAACTTCGAAAACTCTGTCCAAATGCAGCTGTCCCCACTGAGGGGCTTGTCTGAAGCTGAGCAGCTTTGTGTTCCCGTACTTAGCTGCAAACTCCTCGAGGGCAAGAATTCAGCCTTATAATGTTGAGCATAGAATAGGATTCAATAAATATTTGAGAACTTTTTTTTTTAAGATTTATTCATTTATTTGAGGAGGAGGGAGGGACAGAGGGGGAGGAAGAGTCTCCAGCAGATTCTGTGCAGAGCCTGACTTGGGGCTCCATCTCACAGCCCTGAGATCATGACCTGAGCCAAAACCAAGAGTTGGACGCTTAACCTACTGCACCACCCAGACGCCCCTATTTGAGAACTTTTAAAACAGTGTTATGTGTTTGGAGGACTGAAGGGGACCAGGATATAGCACACCAAAATATGCCACGTTGGGATAAGGATTATTGTAAGATGAAGGAAACTGAGAAAGAGCGGACACAGGAGAAGTTCTGTCCTCTCCCTTTCTGCCTAAAAGCAGGGTATACATTTCCCTTTGTGAAGGTATCTCCTCCCCTCTGCCAAACCAGGGAAAAGAGATGATAATTCTCAGTGGAGATGGCATTGACTTGAGTATGCATAAACAAATCTTACTACACAACCCTATCTTCAATGAGTTTCTCCCATGTATCTACCTTCCCACAATTTATGACTTCTAGAAGCCCAAACCCCTTTTTCTTTGTCTTGACCCTTGTCCACAATTTATCACCCTTTGTTAAAATGGCTTATAAGCTTACAAGCCTAAATGTTTCTTTGGGTTTTCACATCTTTTCTGTCAGCCCTGATGTACATGCATAATAAAACTTTTCTACTGTTAACTTGTCTTTGGTTGGTTTAATTCACATGACCCAGCTACTGAACCTAAGAAAGTAGAGGAAAATACTTTTTCCCACCTCTACAGAACCACAGTAGTGGTAAGAACCAGAGTTTTGGACTCAGACCTAGGACCAAACCCTGGATCTACTATGTACTGGGCTGTATGGATGAACATTTCTGAACCTCGGTTTTTTTTTTTAATCTGTATAATGGGAATAGCAGCAGTATTTCCTCATTAAATTGGCAAGATTAAATGAGACCATCTAAGTTACTTGGCCATAGAACATGCTCAGTAATGTTAACTCTTATTATATATTGAAGAGCCTTAGAAAGGAAAGAGATTTTGCATTATGTTTTTTAAATGATGTAATCTAATCACATTTTTATTCATATATATATCCATTCAAAGAGAAAAAGCTTACAGACTTTTTGCCTTAGCTTCAAGGTAATCTGAATAGATGTTTATACCAGGTGGCTTAATTATAAGACAATCGTGATGTTACAAGTGGTAGATTTAAGAGAAAGGTAGTTTCCTCTAACAACTACACAACAGGAAAATGCTACGATGAACACACACTGAGGTAAATCCCAGTGAGGTGAAGTCCTTAGGGGGTACTAACAAACCACAGTGGTTAAGGCAAAACCCTACAAATTCGTTCTGCAAACAAGTGTCTGGTAAAGTCAAGTTGGTGATGAAAAGACAGAGCAGGCTTACATCCGTTTTAAATAGAAACTTTCCCTCCCTGGGCTCAAAAGCTCTTGCAGCACCTGCCTCGCTACTCAAATTCCCCATTATGTGCCATCCTAGTGGGGCTGAAGGGATTCAGTTTCCGACACCCAAGCTCCCTGCCTGCACTTGGAACCAACTGAGAGAGACACTCACCCAGGTCCCTCTTCGCAGATAAAGGTCTGTTGGAGGACATGGCTTTAGGTCTGGTGACTGGGTGGATTTGCCAGGACAGCACCTCTGAGGTGAGCTCAGCTACCCAGCGCCAGGCCTGGTGGGAAAACCACAGGCCTCGTCCACAGGGGAAAGGGTCTTTACTGGCACAGAGGAGAGCGGGATAAAAGGCCTGGTCCTTTCTCCAGGCTCATCTATCAGGGCAGGTGTTCTCCCATCTCAGGAGAAGGGGGGCAGGAGTGTCACCCTCAAGACACGTGACACAGTGGGTTGGGGGTTCCTCCCAACACTCTGACTTAAACTCTCTCGCACCGAGGTTGGGGTTTATAATTTCCCCTCGCCAAAGCCCTGTTCGGCCAGGAGCTCCTGGGAGTACATGCGTTGCTGGTTCCCTCATCATAGTCTGCTGGACATAAGCAAGCTTCTTCCAGGTTTGCTGCCCTGGGAGTCCCACTGCTCTTCAGCACCTTAGCTCTGCATCTAGTCACACCACTGGTGGTCACATCCTATCCAGGTTCCCAGCCTCTTTTTTTTTTTTTTAAGATTTTATTTATTTATTTGAGAGAGAGAGACTGAGAGAGAGAGAGCATGAAAGTGGGGAGGGTCGGAGGGAGAAGCAGACTCCCCGCCGAGCAGGGAGCCCGATGCGGGACTCGATCCCGGGACTCCAGGATCATGACCTGAGCCGAAGGCAGTCGCTTAACCAACTGAGCCACCCAGGCGCCCGGTTCCCAGCTTCTTTAGGGGCATATCGCGATTGGCCATGCCTGCCTTGGCTCCAGATGGCTTTTAGGGACATGTAGTGCTTGTGGCTCAGAGTACAACAGGGTTGTTATGAGTACATGTTTGTGTCCCCCCAAAATTTCTATGTTGATATCCTAACCCCCAAGAGGAAGGTGTTAGGAGGTGGGGTCTTTGGGAGGTGATGAGCTCATGAGGATGGAGCCCCCACAAATGGGATTAATGCCCTTAGAAGAGAGACCCCAGAGACCTCCTTTGCCCCGTCCACCAAGTGAGGACACAGGAAGAAGATGGATGTCTGTGAACCCGGAAGTGAGTTTTCACCAGACACCGAATATGCTAGAGACTTGATCTTGCACTTTCCAGCCTCCAGACCTGTGAGAAATGGCCTCCAGACTTGTTGCTCAAGTCCCCAGTCTGTGGTAGTCTGTTACTGTAGCCTGAAGGGATATATGAACCCAGGAGTCTGTGAGTTGGGGAAAATCATGTCTGCTCTCTGAACTTCAATGTTCTGGTCAATAAAATGAAGACACTATGTATGCCACAGGGTCGGTGCGTCTGATGAAAGACATGTAAAGCAGTCCCTGGGAAACACACTGGGTGCTCAATACAGAGCGGCTTATACAGCTGTAGGTGGGTTCCTTAGTTCACCATTAAGCCCTGGTGAACCGATGAGGAGAATGGAGCAGGGAAGGGAGGATGTCACTTCTAGAAAACCAAACCTTCTCCAGATAACTTAGCAAGGCCTGAACCCTGGAAACCGCTTCCCGGCTGTCCTGCTGAGGACAGTGAGAGCAAACTCATGAAGAGAGGCTACTGCGTGCCCCACACTTGTCTGAACTCCACTAATCTTCCTAATGACCCAAGCAGTAGGTGTTGTTATCCCCATTTTCCAGATGAGAGACTGAGGCATGTGAGGTTAAGCACCTCACCTGAGGTCCTGTGGCAGGTTGGCATCAGAGCTGGTGTTCCAAACGGGGGGGCAGGCCCCACTGCCGCCTCCTCCAGCCTCCCACGGGCCCCCAGCCCTCGGGGCAGGCCCACAGCAGGGCATCTGGCCCCCTGTCCTCTTCCTGGCAAGGGCTGGCTCCACTTGGAAGTTGTGTGTGCCACAATTCAATGGGCCAACTATTCTCGGAACAGCCCTTCCTTTATTACTCATCTGAATTAACCATTGTGTTGGTCTGGACCTAGGGGCCCAGGCATGCCCACTCGCCTTCACAATGCCCACTATTTATAAAAGTTTCTAGAAAATACAGTTCAGCCCTTCTTCTTTTTCCCTGGGTAGATGTGTTCCTCTGTACTTACTCTGTACTTTGCAGAGTAAGCAAATTGTTTAATAAACTGGAGCCTGAGAGGCAATTTAGTGGAATGGAGCATGCAGGGGAAGGTCGACCAGCATCAACCAGTTGGGCAACCTTGGGTAAAATAATTGTAGCTAACACTTACTGACCACTCACTATTACGCACTCTCATGTCATCCCTACAGCAACACTTAGAGATTAGGGCTGTCAGAATTTTCTGTGCTTAAGCAACAGAAGTTGACGCTGAGAATTTACATGGAGGGCTATGAGATAGCTCAGGGATTTGGAAGCTTAACAATTAGGTTTAGGAGAAGGAAAAAGCAAAGCAACTTCAGGATCCAGGTAGCAGGGAGGAATCAAGTGCGTGTTCAGTGTAGCCACTGGGGGGCGGGGGTAGCCAACTGTTGGCTGGCTATTCTCAATGACTATTCCCTTATCCTTTTACCCTTGCTGTCCTCCCCTAGAGAGGTTGGAAAATTTAAATACAAGCTTTGCCAGTCCCCCTTTCAGGTAGGGGTGGCCGTGAGACACAGTTCCAGCCAGAAGGTATGACCAGAAGATATTTGGGAGATTCCTAGGAAAGACTGTACTTTCCTGGTAAGAGTGATAGGAACAACTGAAGCTTTCCCTTCAACTCCTCTTCCTGCCTTGAACTTGGATGCAATGCTGGAACTTCTGCAGTCACTTTGTGACCAGGAGGGAAAGACAAGGCTATCACAAATATACCAGCCCAGACATTGTTGAGCAGCTGACCGAATGCCGGCCGCTGCTTACCTGCAGGTTGTTTATGCAAGAAAATCAGACTTTGTCTGGTTAAGCTCCTCTAAGTTGGGTTGTCTGTTACTTGCAGGCTTCCTGCGAGGCTCACACCTTCACCCAAAAATATTTCTTTTTCAGTCCTTGCAGAACTCCAGTCGAGACTTAAATTCCAGGAGAGAACATACCCAACTTTTGGCTGGAGGAGGGTAGGCTACCTTTATTAACAGTCCCACCAACACCGCACTTACGGGTAGAAGGAGTTCCCCAAAAGAGGAGTATGCTCCCGTTACCAGAAGGTGGGGGCAACAGAGACTGGGAGGCTGAAAGTCAAGCGTTCATTAGGATAGGTACCATGGTTACAGCTGGTGAAGACGCAGAGGCTCAGGGAGGTGACGCAGGAAGCTCAAAGCCTCCCAGCTAGTTGGTTCACGGGCACAGAGAAGGACCCTTTACGACCATGCTGCAAATGCTCTGCCTTTAAGTAAAGGACTGTTGTACTGGGATTTTATTGTCCACCCACCTCTTAAAAAAGGGGCAAAGCTGGGGAACCTGCGTGGCTCAGTCGTTAAGCGTCTGCCTTCGGCTCAGGTCATGATCCCGGGGTCCTGGGATCGAGCCCCGCATCGGGCTCCCTGCTCGGCGGGAAGCCTGCTTCTCCCTCTGCCCCTCCCCCTGCTTGTGTTCCCTCTCTCACTGTCTCTCTCTGTCAAATAAATAAATAAAATCTTTAAAAAGGGGGGGAGGGGCAAAGCTGCATTATTCATCTCATATACATGTTACTTCCATCCCAATTTTTCGTGTTCTTTTAACTGCTCCCCACAGCTCGGGGAGTAGGATGGTTTAGTTAGCAACTATCAGTTAACCCTTTTCACTAGTAGATGTCTTGGTGAGGGATACTTGGCTGTAAAGAACAGAAACGTTCTCAAACTAATTCAAGCACCCAAAAAGGACGGAGTTATGGTGTGGATAGACCTGACTTTGGGTATAGACAGTAAATACCATTCATAGTTACTGAGAAAAATTAAGCTAACTCGTACACATACAGTGCTTGGCATAGTGCCTGGCACACGGTAAGCCCTCAAGTTATGACCACGACACTCCAGGGTCGAAAATGTAGTGCCAGGTCCCATTTTGTCTACAGCAGTAGAGGTTATGAACTAGAACACTAAGTTCCAGTTCTGGCCATAACACCATGTCACACCAACCCAGGAAAGGTGTTTCCATTACATTCAGGCCACCGCACCTTATCAGCATCAGCATTTTAGGTTTGCCTGATTTATATATAAAACCTACAGCCAGATTGGGTGGTGTTAGTTGAGCCCGCATGAGCACGGTCTGTTTATGGGATCGACATAATGGGGTCGGCTAACTTGCACAGAGCCAACGATGCGAGGATGGGGATAGCCGCACCCTCAGGGAAGCCGATCACCGAGATGAAGGTCCTCACTCTACAATTCTATACACAATTCTATAGGAATTGTGTTTCCCAGTTCAGTGCACCTGCCCCCTGCAGGGTCTGTGCTATCTCCGCATCCCCCCACCCCGCCCCCGCCCCACCCCTCCCAGGCTATGGACCTACATGCCTTCTGGGGAAAAGGAGAGCATCCTTACCTACAACAGAGCCTCGTAGGCACCCAGCTGGAAGTTCTGTGGTCATCTACCTTACTCCAAAATAATGTGTTAATAAATAGGAAGCTTTAGCTTAAACAAAAATCTTATGGTGAACAAACCTGTAATAAGCAATATGAAAAGAAGATCTCTGGTCAATTTCTACTTAGGCCAAAGCCAGTGGAGTGGATGCAACAATGTGGTCACTGGAGATGCTCAGGTCTCTTTAGTTTTTTTTTTTTTTAAAGATTTTATTTATTTATTTGAGAGAGAGAGAATGAGAGACAGAGAGCACGAGAAGGAAGAGGGCAGAGGGAGAAGCAGACCCTCTGCTGAGCAGGGAGCCCGATGCGGGACTCCATCCCGGGACTCCAGGATCATGACCTGAGCCGAAGGCAGTCGCTTAACCAACTGAGCCACCCAGGCGCCCTGGTCTCTTTAGTTTTAACCACCCTGGACTCGTGTAACCTGCGTTTTTATTACAGCCCACTTCCTACCTGCCAGACACTTTACAAATGCACTTTACAAACGTGAGATCCCAAGCCTCACAACAATTCTTTGAGCGACGGGCAGGAAGCCAGAGTTCAGAGAGGGTCCAAAAACTTGTCTAGAGACAGCCAATTCGTGGCAGAGACAGGATCAGAACCCGGGCCTCCAACTATAAAATCCACCCACTCAACTGCTATTATACTGAAACGAAATAATTACGAGAGGCAGTGGGCCTTGGAAACAGACTGTGGCAAACACAGTATTTTGTAATTGTATCATGTTCCCAGAAAGGCCTAACTGGGTTCTATAAAGCTCATCCCGTTGGCTAACCTAACTGTTCAGTGAAAACAACCGTACTGAAAGTTTTTGTTTCTAAGAAGAGGCAGGAATCATTCGCTTCAAAGCAAAAAAGCACCTGGCTCTCCCTCCAGGCTTTTTCCCAAAGTCACGCTGGTGTGTGCTCAAGGCAGTGTGCAAAGGATGTGGGGCAGTAGAGGGGGGCTGCCTTGGGGAGCTGAGTGTGAACCCTAGACGTGCCAACGTGTTACCCTGGTGACCGGGAGCAATTCAGCCAACTTCTCCAAAAGTAGTTTCTCTTAAGCAAAGTGAGATGATAGCACAGTTGGAAATCCACGTAGACCACAGAGCAGAGAACCCCGCAGCAAGTTCCCCTCGTCAGAGGGCATGTCAGGTCGGTACGACTTCGGGTCAACTCTGTGCCTCCCCAGTACATCAAGAATCTCTTAGAAATGTTAGCATCAGTTCAGACGTTTGTAAGCAAACAAACCCAACGTGAGCTAGTGGACTTTGACCACTGACGAGGCACTTACAAGGTGCAGGGTGAAATCATCTGGCCCCAAGGACTCAGACATATAAAACAAGGTTCATGCTCTCAGGAGGCCTAAAGTCCAAAACGTGGGCTAGACAGGCTCTTATTTTATCAGGACACATACTACGTGTTAAGTCGTGGGGCCCACTACAAGGACACAGGGGAAATATACCCATACCTTGAGGCTCAGTACCTTCAAGCCTAAGTTGGATGATGGGTCAGCATCCTTCAGGACACACTAGGCGTTCCACTTACTACCCAGTGGGGGTATCTTGCATCCATACCTCATTCCCCGAGAGAGAAGATCCGATGGGGGTATGATCACCCAATATCAAACCGAATATGAAAGTTCTTATAAAGCCATACAAAAGCTGCTGACTCTCCAGTCACCTGGCCTTTGCAGGACTACTTTTGGGTCAAGACACCCAATGCTCAGTCCATAGCGTGAGTCATAGTAACTTTCTACAGAAAGAAACCTCAAAGCTTAAGGCCATTCATTATGACCATGCTGATTTCAACTCCCAGGAGCCCTCTCCCCATCTCCCCACGTAGCAGCACTGAGATTCTGCTTTAGAGAATTATCCCTTTCTTCGTGCTCTCTGACCCCAGTGTGGGCGCAGGACCCAAGACAGCAGACAAGTCACACTCTGGAATCCGAATGTTGAGAGCGCATTCTGGAACTGCCCAAATCCTGGCTTTTTGTAGTCTGGTTGGACTCTCCCTCAAAAGGTCCCCCAGATTCATTTTCTGCATGAATGAGTCAAAACTGGTTCTGTTTCCTAAAGGCCTATGTGAAAGGCACTGCACTGCTCAGCCGGCGGCCGTGGGTCCGGTCAGTACTGCCCTAGGCAGAAGGAAGCCTCCTGAGCAAAGAGTTCCAGGTGGTCTTCTGTCTTGGACAAGAGAAGGAAAGACGATGTGAGGAAAGACACCGAGCTGGTGAGGAACACAGAGCACCAAGGCAATGCTAGGTTTTGGTGAGGAAGCCCCAGTTTGTCTCTGTTCGAGGAAGGGCGTCCACAGGAGAAAGCTGACAATGCCCAGGCTCTCTTCTACTAGCTGCAACCACTGGACACACTGCAGATGCTGCTCTCCTCCTGGGCCAGTCATCACACTCATGCACTCGGTTACATTTCATTTTCAGAAAGACATCCGTCATTCCAGTTTGTTGCACAGATGACATGATCAAGGTGTTTAAAAAAATGTTAATCGTGAAATCCCACCTTCAGCTGCAAAAAGTCAAGCTATGCTGTTAAAGACAGCCAGGATGATAAGAGTACAAGTGTCCTTACATCTATTGGATCTTGAGAATTATTCAGCAACACCCCCAAGAAAAGTAAAACTCTACCCTCCTGAAAAGGTATATCACTTTTTAGGAAACTGGGAGAGCTTCCAAAAGCCTCAACATTTGTGATTATGTTAATAACCCTGACAAATGTCTCCTCTGCAAACTGGGCTAAGTCAGCTAGGGGTCAACAGGCCGGGTGTCGGCAGGAAAAAACACACCCCCGTTGCTGTTTACGAGGGCATCTGGAGGTCCCAAGCTGCAGCCCCAGAGCTCTTCTCTTTGTGTTCATAAAGTACACAGACACAGAGGAAGAGACCTGCGACCAGTACTACTTAAAGTAGGCACACTTAATACTGTGAGTCATTTTTAACAAAGAATGCCCCACTGTTCAGTCTTTGACTGTGGGTGACAAAGCCAAGATACCCCACCAATCCGATAAAAAAGTCAGGGGGGTAGTTTTGGGGTTTTTTTTTTTGTTTTTTTTAAAGATTTTATTTATTTATTTGACAGATAGATAGAGAGCACAAGTAGGCAGAGAGGCAGGCAGAGGGAGAGGGAGAAGCAGACTCTCCACTGAGCAGGGAGCCTGACGCAGGGCTCGATCCCAGGACCCTGGGATCATGACCTGAGCTGAAGGCAGCCGCTAAACCGACTGAGCCACCCAGGCGCCCCTAGGGGGGTAGTTTTAACACATCATAATTATATGCTGTTTGTTTTTTCTAGTGAAGACAGCAAAGCCCATTCACAACTGAGGAACAGAGGAAAACTTGGGTTTTAGCCAACTGCTAGCTCTCAGAAGACAGACCTGGGGGTTCCATACCCTGCTGTGTGGGAAGTTCCCCTCCTTCCCTGCCAGACACCTGCTAGTTGAGAGTACAAAGGTCATTGCGATCACCACCCCCACCCCCCCGCCCCCTGCGCTGAGACTCTCACTTCGCCTGATCGACAGCCCACACGTGGGAGCTTGGTCAGGCCTGCATGGCAGCATAGGGGGCCATGAAGGGAGAGGATGAAGGCATTCCCTGGGAGAGGCTGTTGAAAAAAATCCCCTGCCCCAGCCCCCCACCCCCCCCGCCCCAGAAAGCACTGATCAGAGTATTTAATAACTACCTCCCAGCCATCGGAGGGGAAATGACCAGGGCATGCAGAGAATCTAAGGTACTCAAGCTGTCACGGCGAGGCTGCTCTTGCAAAAAGCCGAGGAAGAAGCATGTGACCTAGCTCAGATCGTGCATGCTTCACCCTTTCATTTTGTCCCTCCGACGGGTCTTCGCTGCCGGCGGGACTGGTCTTCAAAGTCTCTCGGAGTCTCTCTCTTAACCACGCGGCTCAAGCTAGTTTTAGTCTTGCCCAGCGGGATCCAGGTGAAAAATGTGGAAGGCAGCAGCCAAGGAAATAAGAAATATACAGAAACGGACGGTTTAGGAGAAGGCCTCCCGGTGTTGATTTAGAGACAAAGGGTCCAGGCTGCGGCCAGCAGGGGGATCAGCAGCAGAGCTGCGCTGTTGGTGCCCCGGGCCGCGGCGTTCCTGTTACACAGATCCTGCTGGCAACAGTCATACTGGAGCTTCCTCAGCCCTAAGGTTTCGGAGATGACGTTGTAATTGCAATCATGAAACTTCCAACAGCGGTGGTAAAAAAGGTTTGGCTCTGTGGGGAAAAGACACACACAAGGGTAAGCAAGCCCGTGGGTACAGTTCGGTACCTGCCTTTGACCTCTCGATTCTATTTCCTAGAACTTAGCTACTCATGGAAGTAGAGACTTCTGGGCGACAACAGGTACCCTCATTGGGCTAGGGAACGACTGAGCAAATGATGATACAGCTCAAGATGTAGAACTTTTCCCTAAAAACAAAGGTTCATCAGAGCCCGTAGAGTTTGTGGTGCAATAGCCAATCACGCTGGTGTTTTAGAGGTTTGCTAAGATTTTTAAACCCATATTCCCTTTGATCCAACAATCCTACGTCTAGAATTGACTTTATGACGTTACTTGTGAAAAAGGTTAAGGTAGATGCTCGAGAATGGTCACGGCATCACCATCTGTCACAGCAAGAAACTAAAAGATAAAAATCAGTCCATTACTAAAGAAACGTTTGAAGAAATAAGGGTAGAGTTCCGTACAATGGAAATCCAGGTAGAAAAGGAAGGACACAGGCCTGCATGTGTTGAAGTGGAGTCTGAGTTAAAAAAAAAAAATGTAGAAAAATGGATAAATTGGACCCCATTAAAATAAAAAACTTTTGTGCATCAGTGGGCACTGTAGAAAACAAAAAGACAACCCACAAAAAGGGAGAAAATGTTTGCAAATCATATATATGATGAGTCTAGTATCCAGAATATAGAAAACATTCTTACAACTCATTAATAAAAATACAAGCATGAGCAAAGGATGCAGAGATTTCTTCAAAAAAAGATATACAAATGGCCCATCAGCACATGAAAAGATGTTCAGTATCATCAGTCATTAGGAAAATACAAATCAAAACCACAATCAGCTTCCCTTCACACCCAGAATGAGTGTTGACAAGGAAGTGGAGAAACTGAAAACCTCTGTTCCCACCACTGGGGGGGAAGGCAAAATGGTGCTGATACTCTGGAGAAGTCTGGCAATTACTCAAAAAGTTAAAAATAGAGTTACAAATACCATATGATCCAGTAATTCCACTGCTGGCCATTTACCCAAAGAAAACAAAAACACTAATTTGAAAAGATACATGCATCCCTACGTTTATAGTAGCATTATTTACAATAGCCGAGACATGGAAGCAGCCCATGTGTCCATTGGCAGATGAATGAATAAAGATGTGGTACACACACACACACACACACACACTGGAATATCACGTGGCCAGAAAAAAGGATGAGATCATGCCATTGGAGACAACATACATGGATGGACCTAGAGGGTACTATGCTTAGTACAGACTCAGGGTACTATGCTCAGTACAGACGGAAAAAGACAAATCCTGTATGATTCTACTCATAAGTGGAATCTAAAAAATAAATAAATAAACAGCAGAATCAGGGCGCCTGGGTGGCTCAGTTGGTTAAGCGACTGCCTTCGGCTCAGGTCACGATCCTGGAGTCCCTGGATCGAGTCCCGCATCGGGCTCCCTGCTCGGCAGGGAGTCTGCTTCTCCCTCTGACTCTCCCCCCTCTCATGCTCTCTCTCTCTCATTCTCACTCTCAAATAAAAAAAATCTTAAAAAAAAAAAAAACAACAGCAGAATCAGACCTATAAATACAGAGAATAAACTGGTGATTGCCAAGAGGGAAGGAGGGGGGCGGTTGGGAAAAACAGGTGAAGGGGAGAGGGAGATCCAGGACTCCAGTTACGGAACGCATGTCACGGGAAGACAAGACTGTATAGGAAATACAGTCAACGCTACCGGAACAGTGGTATAAGGGGACACGGGATGGGTACGCTTGTGAACCCAGCAGCATGCGCACACTTGTCAAATGCTAAGTTATACACTGAAACTACTATTGCGTGTCAACTATACCCCCCGCCCCAAAAAAGAGTTACCATATGACCTAGCAATTCCACTTCTAAGTATGTACACCCAGGAGAACTGAAAACTACGTTCACACGAAAGCTTGTACACAAATGTTCAGAGCAGCATTATTTGTAACAGCTACCAAGTGGAAACCCAGGTGTCCGTCGGCTGGTGAGTGGATCAACACAATGTGGTCTCTCCACGCAACGGAGTGATTCAGCCACAAAAAGGACTGGATGTACCGACACGTTGGCCATGACATGGGCGAACCTTAAAAACACTCTGCTCAGTGGAAAAAGCCAGTCACGGAGGCCACACCCACCGTATGATTCAGTTCACAGTAAGTGACCAGGCAGATCCATGGAGATGGCGAGTTGATTAGTAACTGTTAAGGTATGTGGGAGGGAGGGGCGGGGAGTGACTGCTGATGGGTATGGGCTTTCTTCCTGGGATGAAAATATTCTGGAGTTAGTGGTGATAGTGGTGCAACCCTGTGAATATACTAAAAGCCACTGAACAGTACACTGTAAAATGTACATTTTCTGGTACGTGAGTTTTACCTCAATAGGATGGATGCAGACCAGGATGTAGAATGGGGGCCATATGCATAAATGAAGTGTGTGTCTGGGGGTAAATGCATTCATTTTCTCTGGAAAGATTCCCAAGGAGTTTAACAGTGTTGCCTTCCCAGAAGCCTATCTTTCATTTATATATTTCTGTATGGATTTTTGTTTTTTAAGTCATTGGATGGATTTTCAAAATATTTTAAATTTCATTTAAATATCATTGGACTATTCAGTAATACAGGAAGAATTAAAAAAAAAAATGCCATTATGGTCCCAACTTTTGCACACATGGAAAAATAAAGGCCCAAAATATCTATGCCAAGTATCTTATTGTGGTTTTTGACTATTCAGAAAAACGATGTTAAGGGAAAAACAGTGTGCTGGTTGAGAGGCATTATGGTCAATTTTCCTCTCCAAAAATAACTGTGTGCCAAGACCACGGTGTGCTAGCTGCTGGAGACACCCCAACAGAGAAGGGATGGTCCTGGCCCTGGGATCACTCTCTCAACCTCTGTGCTGGAAAGAAAAAAACCCATACAGATGCCTATTTCCTTATTAAGGGCTTGTTGTAACTAACTTCATTTCATTCACAGCTGGGAACAAAACTACATTTATAACTGCAGATATAACTGTCTCATCCTCCCCCTCGGAGGGGATGAGCGCTTGGGCTGGATTTTAATGAAATTTGGTCAAGTGGCAGAGGCCACAGACTGTTCTAGTGACTCTGCTTTCTTGGGTCATAAGTATTTAAGTGGATGCTTCTACTAGTGAACTAGAGGATGCTGTTGAATAGGACAAGTTACTGCTTTATGTAATCCTAATCAGGAATTAGAGCTGGAAAAACATTCAAGTGACCAGAATTTTAACTGGGGCAGCCTAACAGCCCGGAGAAAGCAGATAGCAGTTTATTAATAATTGCTACCAATGAATGAATCATTTACTACGTGGCCTGCAGTGAGCCAAGCACTCTACTTCAATGAGCTCATTTGCATAACCACCTACGATGGTGAGCTTCTCACCAAGCCACTAGCAGAATTACCCAAATAAGGTGGATGATCAGAGTCCCCAGAATGTTAAGAGTTTCTCTCTGCTGGGTGCATCATCCCTGATCTCTTTGAAGACTTAGTTTGAGTCTAACTTCACCAAGCAACAGTCCCTCATTGCTCTTGGCACCTCTACGTGCGCCCCTTATTCCTAAGGTCATTCCAGCAATGATCACTCGGTGCCGTCACCAAAGGCTTATGCCACAGTTTAAGTACATTGTTTACAGTTCTGGGACAGGCTGGGACACCAGTAAATAGTGGCTGAATGAACACCTAACACCTGCCTCCTCTCTTCTGGACTCTCTGTATAGCACCAACATACCCATTTTCTCCTCTATCTGTCCCACTGACCCTGGGAGAGAAATATTCCTCTTTTACAGTGGGGGAGAGGGTAGGGTGTAGCTAGAGTAGTGGAATGATTTCTCCACTGGAGTACCTGACTTTCACTCGTGTTTATGACGACAGTGTGCCCTGCCTCTCCCAGGAGATGTCAATCCCAGCTGGAGGGGGACTGAGGTGCTCTGGTAGGATCGGTCTTACTGTAAGGTCAGAATGTCTCTATTTCAAGAAATGCTACCATCACATGTCAAGCTGAAGTTTTGGGACTTAAGTTCCTAAGAAGAAAAATATTTATCCTTTAAAATTATCCTTCAAAAAAATAGATTTTATCCTTTAGAGGAGTTTGAGATTCACAGCAAAATTGAGCAGAAAGTACAGAGTTCTCATTTAGCCCCCTGGGACGCCCATCCCTACCCTAAAGAACCTGTTCTTAGCGTCCCCCACCAGAGTGGTCCACTTGTTACAACTCCTCCTCACCTCTACCGTCCAACACACACATTTCATAAACCAAAAAACACAGGCAGAGAGAACTTACTGGAGGCAGGACAGAGATTGGAGTTCAGAGCTCCTAACTGCAAATCTAATTCTTACTCTACACATAATATTGCCTTTATTCTCTCATTTGGAAATTAGACTTTTTGTAGTTGGGGGGGGGGTCCAAGAGACACAGATGATCAAGGTTAACTTGACATATGTGCTCACACATAACTGGTTTTCAAATATCTGTGGGACAAATGGCTACATTCTCTCCAGGGGCCTTACTGCGCTTTCTACATTAACAATGAATGATCGTGGTCCCCCTCCAGAATCAAGGACCTTGCATACGTAGGGCTCGGAATGTTACCCACATTCCAGGACTTTACATCAAAATGATCAGATCGTCCACTCTGACAGGATAATTCTGATGTGTCCTTACTTATTGAGGGATTTCTCCTTTCTGGGGAAATTAATCTTCTCCTCCTTTCTATCAGGTTTTTCTGAACCTGTGGGTCTCCCGAGCCTTTTATGAGTTTACCGGACATGTTCAGCATTCCCTGATGATGCCCCTGGAAGGACTTTGTGGTAGAGGGTAGAAAAACAGAAAAACCTTGAAGGGTGCTTTTATTTTTATTTCTTAGATGGTAACCATTACTTGTTGAATACAGGTCTCATGAGAATAAGCGTGGCACACATTTTTTCCCAGGCCCTCATCATCCCGTTACCCTGAGGAGACAGGGAAGGGGCAGGCTCTTACCGGCTTTGACCAAAAGACACGCATCAAGATTAAGCGAACAAATGGTGGTCTTATTGCACGCAACACTGTCAGCACAGTTGTAACATGTCAGGCTATGACCTAGAATCAAGAACACACCCTGTCAGCGCTTGTAAGATCTCCACTGACTTGCCCCCCCGCCCCCGGCAGCAGAAGGGAGCCCACCATTGCCACTGGTATGAGGCTGAGGTCGGCAACTCATAGCCTGCTTCCGTTCCCGTACAAACCTGTAGCAGATATATTTTCCCAACCTCAAGCTACAGTTCCAGCAGCATTTTTTGGACCCTGATACAAGTGCAAAAGCAATTTCCATATTTCAAAATCCACATGACTGGGACACCTGGGGGGCTTAGTCAGTTAAGTGTCTGCCTTTGGCTCAGGTCATGATCCCAGGGTCCTGGGATCGAGCCCCGCATCGGGCTCCCTGCTCAGCAGGAAGCCTGCTTCTCCGTCTCCCACTCCTCCTGCTTGTGTTCCTCAATCTCTCTCTCTGACAAATAAATAAATAAAATTTTAAAAAAACCCCAAAAGCCCAAAGAACAAAATCCACATAACCATGCAATTGAGAAGTTTCCTCTTGCCTTCAACTAGAAGTGATTAAAAAAAGAAGTGCTTAATCTGCAATGTAATGACATATTAAAAGGAAACTACCAAGAGAAAAAACTAACAGAATTCTATAAATGCCTTCCAGGCCATGAATATGCTCTTTTTGATCACATTCCCCTAGACTGATACTCAGTTATTTGGTAGTACATATCTGTGTGAAAAGACATTTTCAAAGATGAAATATGTAAAATCTCATAGAAGAATGTCATGGTTAAACCCAGACCCAGTGTGGGTTTTAGAACCCAAGAGCTGACTTGTAGTTCTAAGGCCAAAGCCTACATTCATCACGCAGGGAGGGGAATTTTCCAGAAGGCCAGAAGAAAGTGGCTCCTCACCATCTGAGCACCACAGGAGTCAAGCGCTCTATAACATATAAAATGGCCATGCTTGCCTTCACAGGTGTGAAATCCCACCTAGCAGAGGACCCTCTGATTTGGGAAGGTTCCAGATTAACCTCTGAAATGTCAGCCCAAAAAGCGCTCCCCCACCCACTTTGTTTGCAGATGACAGATGCCTGAAGAGGTGAAGTGGCTCACCCAAGGACCCCGAAGGACACCCAAAGCAGCATGGCCGGAGCCAGCCCCCACACCCAGGGGCCAGGCTCCGTTAGCCCACTCTGCCTCCTCCCTCTCAATGTTAGTTAGCGTTAGTCGTGCCTGTGTGAGGGGCCACCATGAGAAGGGACAAAGATGCGATTTTTCTGCAGTCCCCTCCCTGTTCCAGATGTGTACACCTGCGTGGGAGAGGAGGATGAAAGAGGGAAGAATGTTCTAGCCTGGATACTGGGGAGGGCCATCTGAAAAGGCTGTTCTGAGGACTGACTCTTCTGCTGGCTACAGCCAGACCTCTTCTGGCTTCTTGACAGAGGAACCAAAGCTCACACTTGGAACTTGTGTGGGGCAGAAATACAGCTAACATGTTCATTCGGCGTGCAGAGATCCTGTGTGCCTCCACGCTAAGCTCTTGATCTTTGCAGAACTGTTATGACAGGTAGGCTCAGTGATCTCCGGCCCCATGTTTGAAGAGAAAACAGGACTAAAATGTTAACTAACTTGTCCAAAGTCTCACGTTACAAAGGAGAGTTGGGACTCAAACCCAGGCCATTGGTGCTGAAACCCAAGCTTGGTTTAACCATGACGTTCTTCTAACGGTCCAGAGAGGGAAAGAGAAGGAAAGAGCACAGACTGTGCAGAGATCCGACTCTGGGCTAACAGAGGTGAGAGGAAGACGCCCCTGCATTTTCCTCAGAGCCCAGGCAGCAGCCAGGGACGCGTCTCCCCTGGGTGCGCTCATGCTCCAGACAGACCCTGACTCTCTGTGCAAGGGCTGGGGACCTGTCACAGAGCAGCTGCTGGCCCCAAACCCAATCCTGCTCCGGTAAGCAGATGCCGGCTGCTGGGGCTCGGGCATCACCAGGCGATTCCGCCCACAGGGACTACACCAGGCAGAAGAACAGAGACAGTCACGTCATGTTGTCACAGGCATGAGCCACATGAGCACCCGCCCCGACTGGGAGTGACACAGGTGGGCAGGGAGGGTCATGAAGCCACATGAGCACCCGCCCCGCCCCGGCTGGGAGTGACAGAGGTGGGCAGGGAGGGTCATGACGGCTCTTTTTTCTCCAAAAGGCAGAGCATATTCAAATGTGTCCTTGGGCTAGTTCCTTCTTTGCTTCAGTTCCCTCAACTATAAAATGGGAAGAACAACCATGATCCCTCATGGGGTGGCTGGAAGGGTTAAGTGAGACCGGGGCTTGGCACAGTCCCTAGGACACAGAAAGAATTCAATATATGGGAGCTGCTAAAGCTAGTAATATCCAAGACATGCTCTGACACAGCAGAGATCTGTTCCTTGCTCACTGCATTGCTACCTCCCTTTCTGCCTCTCCCCCACCAAAAAAACCTGAAAAACTGGCAGAACTAACTGGACAGAGGCAGAAAAAAAAACCTGATCCTTATCATGAAGCAAAGCAAATTAACACAGGTGGGGTTTTTTGTTTGTTTGTTTTTTGTTTTTAAGATTTATTCATTTATTTGAGAGCGAGAGTGAGGGAGCAGGGGAAGGGGCAGAGGGAGAGGGAGAAGCAGACTCCCTACTGCGCGGGGTGCCTGATGCAGGGCTTGATCCCACGACCCTGAGGCGAAATCAAGAGTCAGTCTACCTGACTGAGCACCCAGGCGCCCCAGTAACAGAGGTGTCTCTACCGTTACAGAACTAAGACTCAGGCACACACAACTACTGGGGAAGGAGTTCGGAGCAGCCACTCGGGTGCCAGTCCATCTGGGGCTCAAGTTTGGGTTGCACCACTTCTGTGTGACATTTTACAATTAGTTCATCTCTTTGGGCCTTAGTCTGGTCATTTATAAGATGATGGCAAACCCAGGAGCTACTCCATGGTGCTGACAGGCGGATTCAGTAAGCGGGTGCGTACGAAACACTGGGAAGGGCGGCAGTTCACGAGTGCCGTGAGCTAGCTGTCACCGCTGCTCCCAGGGTCGTCGTCCTCACCACCGCACGGCGGACGCCCCCGCACGGAGCTCAGCACCCTAAAGAGGCGCCCACTGGGGTCCCCAACAGCTGGCGAGAGGCAGAAACTTCAGCTGCTGCGTGTACCCCCTGCCCTGCTCCCCCCGAAAAGCTACTCTGTCACCCAGGCTGGGCTGTCACTCAGGACGGTGCCCCAAGGAGGGCACGGCTGTAATGCAGGAAGGAGCAGTCACACGGCCCTGGACCTGTCACACTGGAAGGCAAAAGAAGCAAAGCCAGGTCCAAGGCCAGGGGCATCCGCTCCGTCTTCCTGAGGCCTGAGAGAAACGAAGCTTATGATCAAGCTGACCTAGATGGTCTGGATCCACGTCCCCTTGGACCACTCACCTGAATGGCAGAGGACAGCCAGGACGAGCAGGTGCAGGATGAATCCTCCTTTGCTTCTCATGGTGATTGTCCACAGAATCTGGAAGGAAGGGACGCAGAGGGTTGTCACGCACCAACAAAGGACTGCTGGCTATTTCAGAAACCAACAGTTGGAAGGCCTGCAGCCTTCAGGAAACACGGGGAAGGAGCTAGCAGAGCAAGAAGTGGTTTGGGGTGCCATGAACCAGGGTGCTCTCCTGGTCCCTCCTCTTGCCCCCAAACCTCAGGTTACTGAAGAAATGCTCGCCGTCCTGGTGGGAAGGGCAGCTATGGGGAGTCAATGCACACAGGGCCAAGCGTCGGCAATACCCGGGCCCTGCCCCAGCTCTCACCTTGGGTGGCCAGGAATAAACAGTTACCTTTGAATAAACCTCAGTCCCTCCAAGCCACAGTGGTCACGATCATGCAGTGGGGGTGGCACTCTCTTCCCCAGAAGGGTTGTTGAGTCAAATGAGAATGTGAGAAAAATACTTAATACAGCAACTACAATTCCCACTCTGCCGGCCCAGCCCCAAGCTGCTGGCGGAGGAGGGGGGCCTAGCAAGGGCCACCTCTGCAGGCCATGCCACCAAGTGTGTCAGACCCCAGGGGTGAGTCTGGAGGGCACCAGCAGGCCTTCTGCAGCAGAACAGGAGGCAAAGGTTTAGCATGCACAGAAGCTCCGGCTCCCCACCTTAGTCAGGGTGATGGAGACAGTGCCTTGGTCACCTCCTCCCCTCTGGGGAAGTAAAGAGGGGTCCCGCTAACTTTGATGACCAGTCCCCTTACATTTACGCCTACGTGTGTGGCAGGGAGCATCAGGGGAGGAAACGGGAGGGCTGAAATGACTCAACCCCTCCTTTCACCTGATAAGGAAGCCAAAACACAGAGAAGGTTCTCACTGTCTAAGTCTAAGCCTCGAGTCTCCCAATCCCGCCCCTACTTCCCTGACCCCACCCCCTGAAACAAGGAGGCAAGAGCGCCTCTAAAGCAGGGTGCTCCACGCTCTCCTCCTCTCAGCCCCACCGGCCGGGCCCGGCAGACAGCGGGGGTTCTTGCTGGGCGAGCCCCCACCGCCCCCTCAGTTAGGAATGTCATCCCTATGCCTCTGAAGGTCATCTGCTGCTCAGAAATTGGCTGATCAAGGTCAGGGGAGGGTTGAGAAGCAGAAGAACAGGTTCTGGCCTTGCCCAAAGAAGAAAACACTGAGCAGGTCAGGCCCGGAGGAAAGAGACAGGTTGCCTTCTGATGTGTGGGGAACCAGGAAGAAAATCAAATGGAGCCTGGCCTTTCTTTACAAGTAACCCTCACTTCCCTCTGGCATCTTCAGAATCTACAACAGCCTCCGAATGGCCACCTCCCGCCCCCGGCCGGCCCCACAGGAGGATAGCTGCCCTCAGCAGCCCTGCACAGTGAGGCCGTGAGGGGTGCAGGGGTCACTGCCCCCCTGAACCACATTTGCCTCAGCTATGACAAGGGACAGGCACTGAGGCGCTTCCCAACACCGTGAGGACTCAGTGAGATAAAACAGGTATGTGCTTGAGACACAGCCAAGCCCAGGGAAGTGGCGGATGTTACCAACCACAGGCCTCCTGCCCTGACTCAGACAGGCATGTCTACTGCACCTCCCGTTCCGAGATCCTGCGGATCCGTGGATCTTTCTTCCTGGCCCCTGACCCTGAGAGGTGGGTGTCCTGAGGTCTCTGCACCCTAATGGATGGGGAAGAGGCCTCAGCACCTCCTGCTGGCACCCCGTGCCCTCTGCCTGGAGCCAGAGGAGGGACACGAAAGAGCCCCATCCACTCTCCCCTCGCCCGTGAGTGGCCCGGGCCTTGCCACCCCGCCAGCTCCCTGCCTGGCTTCTCTCGCTCAGGAGTTTCTGTTTTGAAAATACAAAAGCCGCAGGCATGGATGAACCTCCGGAAGGCTACTCCCTACCTACCCTGGGGTTATACATTTGCCACCAGAGTAAATATCCACAGTTTGAGAAATGTTGCCACCCCCGTCAAGGAACATTCTGAGGTCTGTGTGCCTTCCTTAAGAAGTGGGAGTGAGGGGCGCCTGGGTGGCTCAGTTGGTTAAGCGACTGCCTTCGGCTCAGGTCATGATCCTGGAGTCCCGGGATCGAGTCCCGCATCGGGCTCCCTGCTCGGCGGGGAGTCTGCTTCTCCCTCTGACCCTCCTCCCTCTCATGCTCTCTGTCTCTCATTCTGTCTCAAATAAATAAATAAAATCTTTAAAAAAAAAAAAAAAGAAGAAGTGGGAGTGAGATGGCCCTGTGGTGAACAGAAACAGCTGCTGTGGGGTCACGATAATGGTCCGCAAAATATTTATTTTTTATTTTTTATTTTTTTAGATTTTATTTATTTATTTATTAGAGAGCGAGCGAGCGAGCAACAGATTGAGAGAGGAGAGGGTCAGAGGGAGAAGCAGGCTCCCCGCTGAGCCGGGAGCCCAATGTGGGACTCGATCCCAGGACTCTGGGATCATGACCTGAGCCAAAGGCAGTCGCTTAACCAACTGAGCCACCCAGGCGCCCAACGGTCCGCGAAATATTAACAGCCATCGTTGTTCTCCACAAACAGGTGCCAAACTGATTTTCACGAATTATCTCCATTAGTTCTTATAACACCCTAGAAATTAAGGCCTATCATTTTACTGGTAAGAAGGTGTGGTTAAATACCTTGCTCAGAATTACCCAGCCAATAAAGAGCAGAAATACCCAGCAATAAAGAGCTCCTACACATCAACTCGGTAGGGAAGTGCAAATTCACCACTTCTCACGCATAGCAGGCTTCAAATTGTACCTGACTCTAGGTGGATTCCAGAGCCAACAGATTAAGCCAGACAAGGCAGGGCAAAGTGGTAGAAAAGAGGTGTTTCCCCGAGAACTGAACACCTAGTAATCTCTGGGTTAACTAGCGTGTTTGAAGTCTCTCCCTCCATTTCAGAAATTGTTTATTATCACAAGCTAACGTGACAGAGGCGCTGTGTCTCTAAATCTGCAAAATGTATGGGCTGATCTACTTAGAAAGTAGAGGTACTGCAGTTGAGTAGGGGTGGGGAGCCAGGTCTCCGCTGGGACCCCCTGGCCTCTTTAGGAAAGTCACCACCCGGTAAGAGCACGATTTTTAAAAGAATCAGCTGGTCACAGGGGGCGGCGCCTTCAGAATGGACACAGCGGATGACCGAGAGTAGGGAAAACACCCTCAAAAAGGACACGCTGAGCAAGGCGCGGGGCTAGCGCCTTCACGAGGTGCCCACCGAAGGCGTGTACGATTTCACAAACGGGGCCTCCCGCGGGCAGAGCGTCAGGATCCGCGGCCTGCGGAAGTCGGTGTGGATTGCTGCAGGCCCCCTGCGAGGGGCCATTTCCCGGACACTTTGCACTTGCGGCGGCGAGGGGAGAAACGGAACATGTTAACCCGGCACATTTCTAGGACCCGGGGAGCGCCTACTTCTCCGGAAACAACCCCACACACCACTAGTTAACAGTTCTTTAAAATCCCGCTGTCGGGGCGCCTGGGTGGCTCAGCTGGTTAAGCGACTGCCTTCGGCTCAGGTCATGATCCTGGAGTCTCGGGATCGAGTCCCGCATCGGGCTCCCTGCTCGGCGGGGGGTCTGCTTCTCCCTCTAACCCTCTTCCCTCTCCTGCTCTCTGTCTCAAATAAATAAATAAAATCTTTAAAAAAATAAAATAAAATAAAATCCCGCTGTCACACTCCGGGAGGGGTGTAGCCCCTCCAAACGAAACGTCACACCAGACTTGGACTTAGAAGGTCTACGTTTCGGCCCCGCCCTTTCCCCCCCAATTCCAAATTTGTGGTCTCGACCAGGTCTGTTACCACTCGGCGGGGAGGGGGTTGCGGGCTAACCTCCTTTCAAGGCGCGACTTTTCTTCCCTGTTACAAGAGCTTCCCTTCAGAGTGACAGGGGGAGCTTCCCTCGCCGCCTCCCCCGCATCCCCGCGCTTCTCTTTTTGTTAACAAAGCAAGCCAGCGTTCCGCCGGGCTCTCTGCGGAGGGGCTTCAGGGGCGGGAACGCTGCGGGCCGCGGGCGGCACGGACGGGTCTGCGGACGGAGGCCGAAGCACCTCCCTCGGTCCGGGGTTTCCGCCGGCCCGGGCCCAGACACCGGTGAGCGCACGCGCCGGCTTAAGGTGGCTGCGGCCGGAGGCTGGGGGTGCGGCTCGGCCCCCTCCCCGCCTCGGATCTTACCTGCCTGCACCCGGGCTCCCGCTGCTAACACCGCGCGGCGTGCGCGCTCCGCCCCGCCCGTGTTTATAGCCTGGGTGAGCCGGGCTCCGCCCCTTCCCGCGGGCCCCACCCCCGCCGAGGCTCCTGCCGGGACCCCGGAGCCGCCCGTCTGCGAGTCCAAGGTCACCCCAGTCCCAGCTCGGTGTGCAGACCTTTGGCACTCACCGCGCGCTCCCGAGCGAAGGCCCGCCAACCAGCTCTGGCCAGGCAGCCGGGCGGCCACTCCTCGCAGGGTGACTCAGGCTCTCCGCCCAGGTTCAGAAAGACCGTACCACGAATAGATTAAGACCTTTAAAATCCCTGAAACGGAAAATTTGTAGTGTCTTCCTCCGATTTGTTACAGGAAACAAAAATAGGAAGCTCCATGACTTCTGATTTTCCCTTCGTTTAAAAAAATATATTAAGATGTTTCAAAAAACGTTCTTGTGCCCGTGCCAAGCTCCCACTTGGCCGGGCTGTCAGGTTATCCAACCCTGCTGCAGCCGGAGTCTCTCTCTCTCTCTCTCTCTTTTTTTTTTTTTTGCATGAATGCATGAGATACATTTTACTCAGGGAAATCATATGATAACCGATTATGACATGTGCCTTCTACCATGATCCTCTGGTGGCTTTGGGATGTCAGGGAATGAGTTTCAGCTGGTGGTGCCCAAATCTTGGTTTTCTTCTGTAGAAATGGGAGTCTCAAATCAGGACTTGCTTTGGTATTTAAAATGTGTCTGTTTAAAACAGTGAATACATGTATTTCCTTGTTTACAAAACTCTTTCACATGCATTATCTCATACACATCCTATTAGCCGTTCCCTCCTTGGAACTCTTGGATTCTGAGATGCCACCTTCTCCTGGTTTTGCTTCCAGCTTCCTGATCTTTCAGTCCTGAATGTTGCCAGGGTTGGACTGAGACGGTTACCGTGTGCTCCCTGGAAGAGGACACTGCATCCACTTAGTTTTGCCTTGGGGATATGTGTAATTTGCAGATAATTTGCAAATCTTTATTCTCCATCCCTGACCACTCTCTCAATCTTCATATTCATACGCAACTGATTGCTGGAACCTGTATGTCCTACAGGCATCTTGAATTCAAAATGTATCCAAATCTCATCTCCAATGTCCAACCGTATTTCATCCATTTTTTTTTTCATAAATGAAGCCAGAAACCTGGCAATCACCTTTGATTTCTTCTACTCTCTCACATCTAATCACCAACTCTTAGGTACCTTCTCTTGTAGATAACTGTTTCATCCTCTTTTCACTCCACTCCCACAGCTATTGCCCTAACTCAGGCCTGTAAGCATGTCTTACTTGCAGAATTACAAGTTCTTCACACCAGGTCTCCATGCTGCCCATGTTAATTCCTGCATCACCCGCCCCCCCATCTGTTCTCCACATGACTGCTGGAGACCTGGTTGGTTTACCCCTCCAGCTGTATGTTTGACTTTACTTTCCATTTAATTTGTCCCTTTTCTCATCATCCTTCCCTATCCATCTATTCCTGTAATAGAATATGACTACAGCTGCCATCTTGCAACCACGAGGTAACCTTTATGATTAAAGCCTTGTGCTAAGGATGGCAGAACAGAAAGTTGGAACAAATCTGGAATGAAGACACCACTGGGCCACTGTTATCAGTCCTCAACTAATCTTTGGCTTTTCATAAGAGAAAAATAACCCTTAGCTATTTGCTGCTATTGGGTCTCATCCTGATACATCAAGCTTTAGATAAATGAGTCAAAGACAGGCAGTGGTCTCAAGGGACCTCAGAACCAGAAATGGCCTTCACTCCACAAAAGCATAGGCTGGCCAACTGTTAGATCCCTTCTATGTGTGAATACACATTCTTGCTAATGAAATAACACTTAAGTGTGTTATCAACTAATCAATCACACCTTGGTATGAACAACAGGTCATTCAACATATTAAGAGGATGTGAATTTAGATGAGAGGATAAATAAGCCTGACGTATTCTAAGGAGCAAGAATTGAATGGGGTTGTAGGGGAGATTTGGGGCATTGTGAGTACTATGGGAACTGAGAGGAGAGGTCAACCAGAAAAGACAAAGAAGCAAAAATGGCAAGGGATCCTGGGACTAACTTTAACTTTCCACATTAACTAGCTTTAAATTATTATTTTATCGGGTAAGTTTATTTTTTTAAAAATCGGTAGGTTGATTTTTTTTTTTTTTTAAGAAAGGAGAGAAGCATAATAGGATTTGGTAGCCTGATGATTAAAAAAAAACAGCAGGAAAAACTACTTACTCTATTTCAGAACATTTTGACATGTACCAATAGGAAAGCGTCTTCATGGTCCCTGGGGGCAGCTGCTTAACCCCACATACACTTGCCTCTTCCTATAGTTTTCCCTACAATAGTAGTATTCTTGGGGCACCTGGGTGGCTCAGTTGGTTGGGCATCTGCCTTCGGCTTAGGTCGTGATCCCAGGGTCCTGGGATCGAGCCCCATGTTGGGCTCCCTGCTCAGCGGGAAGCCTGAATAAATAAATAAAATCTTAAAAAAAAGAAGTATTCTTGCGGAAAATGGAAGGTAGGGCATATGACAGGATATAGTCAAAGCCAGGAACTAACTTTGAATGGGCCTCTGGCAATAGGACAATGAATATCGATTTCATCTTCCATCCTGACAGCAAAGGCTGATTAATATTAGTTTATGGAAAATAGGCAATTACACAAAATACAGGGTCAGAACCAAAATTCGTTTTTAAAATGTGAGTTTTTGCCACTTGGAGGATTTCATTCCAAACTCTCAATTATATAATTACAAAAAAATCCATGTTTCAGGAAAACATACTTAATCTTAACATAAAACTCATGTCACTTATCACATAGACAGTCAAGTGTATAAAGGAGAAACAAAACAGAAGCAGTATTTACAAATTTAGACTACATGAGACATTGTGAAGACTTGTTAATAAACAACACAATACATACTTTTACACACTACATTTCAAAAATGATGCATCTGTGAACAATATGATAAAGGTCATAGCATTAAAGACTTTAAATTCAAGGTTGTCATGTTGAAGATTTTAAATTAAATTCAAGGTTGGTAGAGTTGAAGACTAAATGCAAGGTCATAATGACGAAGACTTTACGTTCAAGGTGGTAGTGATGAAACCTTTAAATTCAAGGATAGATTGTCTAAGAAAGGACAAACAACTAGCATTCAAGCTATTTAGTCAATTAGTTCCCTGTGAGTACAAAATATATAGGAATCGCTAAATGGATTAGCCTAATTACAAATTCTGTTCATTTCTAAATAATTCACAACTGCAAGAAGTCTTTTCACAGAATTATTCACATAGTTCCTCTCTATCCTTGTGTAGGTATTTCTGCTACATTTTTCAATCCTTATTCAAAACAATTCCCTCCCATTTCCATATTTGTAGAAGTATAAAATATTTTGAAACAAAGAAATGTCTGTTCTTTAGCTAGAGAACTATTCTCCCACTGACTTCTAGAAGAGGGAGAAAGAAAAAAAGATTCCCATTTCCTCCTCTTCCTCAAAAACACAAAGCAAACCAAAACAATCCAATTCCTAACATGGTGTCGCATAGAACCCAGGGCCTGGAACAATATTTCATGCTAGTTTTCCTGGTATATGCAGAGAGCAATTTAGTTATTTACATTATTGGGAAATCTATTTAACAATTGGATTCATGCCAGTGCTTCCATCAGCACAGCTTCCCTAAAAAAGGCGAGAGCAGCGGCGTCTTCGAATGGGAACGTCAAAGACTCTCCTCCGTCTCTCTTCCTCATCATCTTCATCAGACTCATCCATATCCGCCGAGTCATCGTCGTCGTCGTCTTCCTCCTCCTCCTCTTCTTCCTCTTCCATCTCTTCATATTCATCAGGACCCATCTCCTTGAAAGAGAAAACAATCTTTTGATAAGAACTTCCATCAGTTTTTTATACTTATTTTACACAAATTCTCATTTATCTAGAATCTAAACAACTGGACATGCCAAATAGGAATTTTTATGGAGTTGAACTGTGTATTTTCATAAATGCACGTGCTGATGCAAGATTCTAGAATGTATATACATATATCACATGTTTTAAAAGGCTCAATGTGGTTTTAATGGTAAGTCTGTTTCACTAATACAGTACTTACACTTTACATGGTAGTTGATAATTTGTACAAGGCAGCCAACAGACCACTTCTAACAATCCAAGAGAAAATTTTACTGGATTTATTTTAGTGTATTAAGTACTTTTAATTAAGTGTATTAATTCTTTATTAATCTATATGCTGACAGAAAAGAGGACTCCAAAATATTAATAAGGTACGACCTCTACTGGTAACTTACATGTACTGTCAGGTCTAATAGACTTCTATTGAACTCCTACTATAAAGATCTATCATTTCAACTCAATCACCAGGGGCAGCGTCTACTTGGAAATTAACTTGCTGAAGGCTCTCAGAATAGGGGCAACAGTGAGGTTGAACATCTCATGGAAACTTCAATTCTGCTTAAGCAGTGTCTCTGATAAAGGCTTGACTTCCTCTGCTGTCAATTTTTCTCTCATACGTTTGAAGACTCAGTGAGAGGAGTCGCTATATTGGAGAGAGTTCTGAATAGCAAGGAGCACCTAGCTGGTGATGTGGGAACTACTGGGAAACCTGGGATGTGTCAGTAAAAGGCCTTTCTGGCCTCACATATCCAGCACTCACTATGCCTCCGATTTCACCTCTGACCACTGTCCCCCGGCCACGGCCCTCCAGCTACACTGGCTGTTCTTCACACATGCCAAGCATTAGTATGTTTATGTAACATCAGGGTTTCAGGGCCTTTGCACTTACTATTCTTTTGCTTGGAACATCCTTCTGCCACATATATCCACCTGGCTCCCTCTACTTCTTTCAAGTCTTAACTCAAATGTTGCCGAGGCCTTTCCCAACACATCTTTATATCAGAACAACTGAACAGGACACTCCTTATATATCCTTTACTCTGATTTTTCTCCAGAGCACCTATTACTACTTGGTATAACTAGGTAGTGTTTATTTGCTACTCTTGTCTCTTCCAACTAGAATGTAAATTCCAAGGCAGAGGTTTTTTTGCTTTTTGTTTTTTAATTTCCTCAACTTTCTTCTTTTTTTTTATTGAGGTATAATTGACATACAACATTACATTCATTCGTTCCAAGTGTACAACATGATTTGATATTCATTTGATATTTGTATATATTACAAAATGATCACGACAGTAAGTCCAGTTAACATCCGTCACCATACAGTTACAGAATGTTTTTTCGTAATGAGAGCTTTTAAGATTTATTCTCTTAGCAACTTTCAAATTTGCAATGCAGTATTCACTATAGTCAGCGTGCTGTACAGTACATCCCCGAAGGCAGATCCTGGCTGTATTGTTCACTGCGTTTCCCCAGCACCTCATAGGGACTCAATAAATATTTGTTGAGCAAGCAAATTAATTAATGTGGGAGAAAAAAATTGTTCTTTAGGAGTTGTCAAAGGATTGTCACTTAGGATTTATTATAACACTAATAACAGCATTAACAACAATCAGAGAAAATATACATAAATATGACATGATATTCCATTATTTTTATTTTTTGATTTTTTTAAATCTAGGGAATGAAGACTTTAAAATTCAGAAGGTTCAAAAGGGGCAAGGGGGAAGGCTTAGGAAATCCTAAAACATTAAATTCAGGTAGTATGATCATTAGTCATCTTATTGAAGAAGAAAACAGAAAAAAATGTTAAAGAAGTCCGTGTAGCTAAAGAGGGAGACTGCTGATGTCAGATAAAAGTGTACATACAGAAGCAGCAGACGGAAAGAGGCACACACAGATAAGAATGGAAATAAGTAAGCAGCAGGAACCTCTAAAGTGTCCAAAAGCAAACAACAAACCACCTAGAGCAAGAAAAGGCTTAAGAGAAACCAAAAGTATATTTTGTAGTGACATTCAAAGTATAAAGCAAAACGAAGTATTAAGTACAATAATTATCATATGGTTAGGGCACAAAAAAGGAGAACAATTCAGTTTCCATATCAAGAAAACTAATATTTCAACAGAAAAGGTACAATACAAATACAACACCATACAAATACAATCCCCACTGCCTCTTTCATGTTGATTAGAAGTAAGTCCAGAATTCTCATTTCTTTGTATTGATATCTCATCCTTGAGAGAGAGAGAAACATTTTCCACAAGGCAGGTCAAAATTTTATATGCGTATTTGTGGTTGGGAGGAAATTAAAACTCTAAATAAGTAAGAACATAGTTAAGAGGGTTTAACATGTAATGAGTTTATTATTATAATTTAAAATTATAAGTTTAAAAATTGTAAACTTTAAAAAAAGAGTAAGTAAATACTATAAAATTTCTCAGTTTTCATTTCTAACATGATAAATACTGACATAACCCACATCAACAAAAGTTCTTTGGAGTCCTCAACAACTTAAAAGCTTAAAGGAGCCATGAGACCAAAAAGTTTGAGAACTGCTATCCTAAATTAAAGACTACTTTATACCCACCCTAACAAACATTAAAAACAAGTCTCACCAGGATCAAGCTGACCCCATAGTAACTTAACTGCCTGCCCAAACAAACCTCAACATTCTTTACACTTTAGGTCAGGAATATTAGCAATTTTAGGACAAGAAATATTATCAAAGAGAGAGATTTCATAATAATAAAAGAAAGCACTTCATTAAAAAGACATAATCATCCTAAGCATATCTGCATATAATTATAGAGCTTCAACACACATGAAGCATATCTGATAAAATTTAAAAGAGAAATAGACAAAACTGTAATTATGGTTGGAGATTTCAACAATCATCTTTCAGAGAACAAGGACCAAAAAAAAAATATATATATATATATAGAAGACTTGAAAAACTGTCAACCAATTTGAACTTTCATTTATAGGTAATATTCCCTCAATTAGCAGAATATACATTCTTTTCAAATACACAGGGATTAATAATCAAGACAGACCATAATGCTGGGACATAAAACCTTTAAAAGGATTGAAATTACACACAGCGAGTTCTCTAACCATAACAAGATTAGAAATCAGTAAACAAAAGTTAACTGGAAAACCTCCAAATGTTTGAAAATTAACACATTCCTAGAAAACTTACAGATCAAAATTAAATTACAAGGGAAATCCCAGAATATCTTGAATTAAATGTTAATGAAAACAACACATCAAAATTTATGAAATACAGCTAAAATAGTGCTTTAGAGAAAAGAAAGGCCTAAAATTAATAATCTAAACTTCTACCTTAAGAAGCTGGTAAAAAAGCAAATGAATCCCAAAGTAAGTAGGAGAGAAATAAAGAAAACCATAGAAATCAATGAAATAGAAAATCAGGCAACAGTAGAGAAACCCAGTGAAACCCAAAGTTGTTCTTTCAAATGACTAACAAAAGAGATAAACCCCTTAGGTAAACTCATCAAGAGAAGATATAAATTACCATTATTAGGAGCAAAAAAGGACATATGACTATAGTTCTTATGGCCATTAAAAGGATATCAAGGGAATATTATAAATAATTTTATGCCAATAATTCAACATTTAGACAAAATGGACAACTTCCTTGAAAGACACAAATGACCAAAAGTGGAATAAGAAGTAGGAAATATATGAAAGAAATTAAACTATTTCAAACTTTCCCACAGAGAACTCTAGCCCCAGATGGCTTCACTAATGACCTGTATCAAACATTCATGGATGATAACCAATTTCAGACAGAATCTGGACTAGTCAAAAACAGGAGACTGTTACAAGAAGTAACAAATTCCTAGTACTGGAAATACACAGTAGAAAGTATTCCTGCACTGGGAGGGAAGCTAAACTTCACTTCCAAACCCAGACGGTAGATCCTTTTCACCAGATATGCAAGCATAATGGCCTAAAGTCTCATATCATCCTTCTCTTTCCAAACTGGGCTTGGGAATGTGTCAGCTCTGGGTCAGACTAATCCTATGTCCATCTTCCCAGGAGCCAGAGGGCCCTTTCTGAACATTCAACACCTACCACTCAGTCACATTCTGGATATATGAGTCATAATTTATTTCTATTGTATATCAGGAGCCTCATAATTCTCTTTATTCATTTTATAATCCATAAGATTAGGGTACTGCCACTATCATAAAGTAATCCTAAAAGTGAGATTTTAAAATTATACCTAGTTGACTTAGGAAATGATCCCAAAGAGAGATGACTACAAAGAGGATTTAACGGGTAGACTTGCACTTTTAGTAGTCTCTCTCTAGGACATTTGTTATTATTTTACAAAATTGGGATTTTTAGCAAAAACACTGCAAGAAATTGCTTTCCTAATCTTAATGAAATAAAATAAAGCCTATTTTAACTGGTCTAGTGTGGTGTTTCTCATTAGGCCACAGAATTTTTTTTAGAAACGGTGGAAAAGAGGCTGAACCTTTAAAACCAGTAACCTCTCTCCATGATACTATGATGGTAGATACGGGTCATTATACACTTGTCCAAACCCAAAAAACGTACAACACCAAGAGTAAACCCTAATGTAGACTATGGACTTGGGGTGATTATGATGTTCCAATGTAGGTTCATCAACTGTAACAAAAATACCACTCTGGTGGGAGATTGATGATGAGGAAGGAAGTCTGTGTGTGCATGGGGGTGGGGGGTATTTGGAAAATTTCTGTACCTTCTGCTCAATTTTCTGTGAATCTAAAACTGCTAAAAAAAAAAAATGACATCTATTAAAAACAAACAAAAAAATCAAACAAAAAACAGCTAAACAGAGTAGAGTTATTCTGATTGAAGTGTATGGAGTCTAGCTTACTTATTATCCACCACCCCCACATATTCACATATTTCCTCAGAATCTCCAGGGTTCTCTGGAACACCATTTATAAACCATTTGTCTGGCTAATCAACAAAATCCCTCTGTGGAGTTAATTCTATAAAGCATGGAAATCAGTCCCAGAGGAAAATTTAACTCACCAATCGGGCTATAGACACCCTGAATGTTGGACAAGCCATATGGAATCGGGGAATAGCAACATTAAAGATCTTGTCTTTAAAGTAAAGAAAATGGAAGGTATAATATCCTTCCATATATCCTGAGGTTGTAGAAAATGTGGTACAACTTGTGTATTCATATACCCGACCTGGGCTGATGATTGGAAATTCACCTGCAGAGAAAACAGTAATAAGAAACCAAAGTATAAAACTCAGTTCTTCATTATAGTAAATAAAATATGTCCTCTATGAGATTATATAAACTATGTTAAAGTAAATGCACAATTAAAAAAAAAATCTAAAGCGCCCCGATAATCGAAATCTTTTAAAAAGCTAATGGTCAATGACAACCAGAGCTAATGATGACTGAAATCCACAAATGAGAATCTGTGCTACTGATTTTAACATTTCCCCCAAATTTCAAAAAGATGACCAATATGAAATTTATTTTCTCTTTCTGCCCTATGCCTGGTAACCCTACAGAATATGACAGTGAATAATTATCCAGCTAAAAAAGATGATGAACTTAAGAAGCTAACAAGGAACTCAGGTGATCCACAGAATGGAAAATCAATCCCTGAATAACTGTTTGCTGTAATTTTATTTATTTATTTATTTATTTATTTATTATTTTATTTTATTTGACAGAGAGAGAGAGAGAGAGACAGCGAGAGAGGGAACACAAGCAGGGGGAGTGGGAGAGGGAGAAGCAGGCTTCCCGCCGAGCAGAGAGCCCGATGTGGGGCTCGATCCCAGGATCCTGGGACCATGACCTGAGCCAAAGGCAGACGCTTAACGATTAAGCCACCCAGGCGCCCCTGTTTGCTGTAATTTTAGAAAAGTTCATGTTTAAGGTACTAAACTAATAGGATAATGATCTTTACACATTATATTTATGAAGCAAAGTACTGGAGTTACAAGAAGCCCAGAATCTATGATATCTTTCACATTGTAAACATAGCTATTAAAAGATACAGTCTTGGAGCGCCTGGGTGGCTCAGATGGTTAAGCGTCCAACTCGTGATTTCGGCTCAGGTCATGATCTCATGGGTGGTAAAATCGAGCCCCATGTCAGGTTCCAGGCTCAGCAGGGCATCTGCTTGAGATTCTCTCTCTCCCTCTGCCCCTCCTCCCAGTCATGCTCTCTCTCTCTCTAATAGATCTTTAAATAAAAATAGTCTTATCCACTAACTACATTGTGCCTTTTCCAAGCTGTATGTCACATATATGCTCTCCAAAATGTCTTAGAGGAACCTGATCTATAAACCCAAATCTTGAGTTACATACATACCAACTACTCCAGGTCCTTGAACTTCTTCTACATCACCTTTAGCATTTGTTATTCTCCAATAGCGACTGTCCAACTGACAAGCCTTCTCAGGAAGTGCATCCTTTGACATTTCAATCCTGGAGAAGGAAATGGGGTGGTAGAAACACAAATCTGACCTGATTTGGTTTCTTTTGCTTAAGAGCTAAATTATTTGGACTAAAGTCTGTGTTAACCACCTATTTCTGAAAGTTCTCAAAAATATGGGCCTGATTAGCTTGACTCTCCCACATAAATGCCTGTACCCAATTTGTACACTTGACTTGCCAAGAATCAACAATAGAATGGGGAACATAAAAATGTATGAACACATAGGTGATAATAATTTTTTGCTCTTTAAGTAAAGATCAATGTACGAAATGCTTTCCAGATAAAGTGCAATAAAAAATTTTAGTTTTCTTAAAAAAAAATTTTTTTTTAAAGATTTTATTTATTTATTTGACAGGGAGAGACACAGCGAGAGAGGGAACACAAGCAGGAGGAAGGGGAGAGGGAGAAGCAGGCTTCCCGCCGAGCAGGGAGCCCGATGTGGGGCTGGATCCCAGGACCCTGGGACCATGACCTGAGCCGACGGCAGACGCTTAACAACTGAGCCACTCAGGAGCCCCTCTTTAAAAATTTTTATTAAAAAACTGAGACTGAAGACATTTTCCTTTTTTCCATTAACTTCTAGAAAGCTCAAAGAAAAATGTCACCAATCAGTTACTAGGATTACACCTTGACTCTTTCCCAATACTATTATTTCCCCCCTTTCTCTAGGAATCTGCTGTCTCTTATTTTCTTTTGGAGTACCCTATAAGCAAGTGTCAGTGTTACTATTCTAAGCATGTTTCAATCTTACATAGGATCTGAATTAAACAATTAAAATAACAAACATCTGTACATGTGTAACTGGACATATCAAAGGCTGCATATAATACCAAAATCTTAGGATGCTCCCTGGTTAGTATACATAGCAAAAATAATTCCAGTATGTATATATGCATATATATGTATTTTTTAAATATCTGTAATATATCATAAATTATATAAAAATATATCTAAAAACAAAGTATTCTTAATATTTTAAAGCAATGAGTTATCTTTATGTCATCGCACAGAGTATTAAAGTGAATTTAATATTTGTTTTTTATTTAACCAAATTCAATGCTTAACACCATGCCTAATATACAGGCAGCACTGATAAATATTTATTAGAGTTTTAATCAATATAGACAGCCTAAGTGAAATTTAAAACGCCTGGTTTTATCTTCAACAATTTGATAGCTTCTAAATGCAACTCTTATAGACAGCTTTCATGATGATTATAACTTAGTGTCCACCTCACGAAGTACCTGGCACAATTCTTTAAACACAGTACATTTGCAAGAAATAACTTAAGTAACTTGGAGGTTACTGTAAACTCAAGGTACTAGATTATACTAGATTATAAAATTATACTTTATAAAATTATGTAGTATTATACTAGATGATAAAAAATTTTGTTATCCACCTTCCTCCACACCTCGGCAAAAAGCTGTCTTTCAAAATATGTCTGATGGACCATGTCAAAGGGGGCTACACCAACACATCGACAGGCTGTACCCCGTTTACATCTCTCACCTGATTCGGTATGTGAAGAAGTAGTGGGGCGGGTGGACAGAGCTAAGTTCTGGCAGAAACGATGTAGAAACTGAAACGGTAATGTCCCCAGTTGTTGCCACACACTCTGGATCATGAACATATCTAGAAAATTTTAAAACATTAAACGTTTTTTAAATCAACTAACTTCAAGTCTATAAGATAAAAGATTTCAAGATACAATGCAAGTTTATATTTTACCTTACGATCAAAAATTTAAACCATATTTGGAAACTTAAAGGTATACTCCTATGATGCTTAGAAGAAAATTATAAATTACAAGCAAACTAGAAAACCTTGGAAGACTTCAGACCAGTAATGACAGCATCAAGGCTCAATGATCAGTGGTTCGACTAATGATTCCGCAATTAAACTGGAAGCTAAAAAGAGCTTATCTCCGTTTTCAGAGCCAGGAAACTTTTGGGCCATCTGAAAACAGTGGCTCTGACAATAAATGTGTTGGTATGTTATTCTAGAGACCTCTAATTTATAATTAATCTATCATTTCTGCCAACCAGGCTACTGTGAACCAATATGACCTCTAATACTATCTATAATACCTGCATGTTTCATTTATAGATGATATATAATATTCGCCAAGAGATAACAGCTACTGACTTGCTATTCATGATAAATCCATTAACTGGCAAACAGTCTTTTTCCCCCCAAAAAAGAAACTATGTATAAAAAGAAACTATACCATAGAGCTGTAACTTCGAAATAAAAATCAATTTATTCTCTGGATCCTTCAAGATAAGAAAAATATTGGCTATTCAAGTGTTTGAATGTGGCTTTAAAGTGGGACTAACACAGTGGCACTTAAGATAATGAGAGGTTCTGTTATTAACCTTCTTTGAAACTTCATCTCAAGATGTGTAACTAATGTTTTTTTCTGATTTACAATCATTTTAGTCCTGAGTGAAATACCTGAAAATTTGGTCTCTGATGATTGGGAAACCACCCGATACAACATTGCTGACATAAGAAGTAAACCAGTCAGTAAAAGTAGCACCTATAAACCAGGAAGGGGTGGGGAAGAAGAAAAGGACAAATAATTTTTGTAAAATCTATACAGGAAACAATGATAATTTCTCTATGCTTAAGATACGAGATCAAAACTAGAAATACTTATAATTCTACTAGTCCATTATCAGGTCAATTTCTATTCTCAATTCTATCCATCTCATTCCCAACTACCTTGCTAGGGAACCCTCCATCTACCTTCAAACTACTTTTTACATTTATAATTAAATAACAGATTTAAATTTTATTTTGTGCTGGTACAAGAATGAAAAGCCTTCTTCTGTCTGTAATTTCTAGAATATACGGAACAAAGGAGATACACATACAGCTATGTCTAGGAAGAAACTACAGGAAAAATATCAGCACCTATCCTCAGACAATCAGGGTATATACCCTTGGCCCAGGTACCTCCTGACTCATGCATAAAATTCTGGCAGAAGCCAGGCTCAGCCCGGGCATCTAACAGGGGTATGGCACTGTACAGTTCTGGGCATCAAACCAATCCCAAAGTAGTCTAGTTGTACCACAGCAGATTCAAATGCAGAGTGGTTCTCCATATTCTCAGTGACCAGCTCAAAGTCCAGTCCAGACCAGACCACACATTCGTGATCTAGTGAGTGGACCACTGGACAAGTATTTACATGAATTATGTTTACCCCTTCTAGGTAAAACAACATAACTTTCTCAGACCCCCACATCTATTATTAATACAATCAGTGCCCAGCAATATTAGTCCCTGAATCAATGTTATTCACTGAATTTCTCTGTAATGTTGTTTCTATTAACACAGTTCTCACACTCTGCCATGCTGAACATTGGAGCTAAATTTATAGTATTTACTTATTACTCTATTTAGGGAATAATAGAAGATACAATTTAAGCTTGGGTCTTAGGGTTTATAGCTTTAAAATTTTAAAGGCATCAACCGAGAGAAGGTAAGCTACATTAGTTGGCTCTTTTCTCAACATCTACTAATGAATGGCCAATTCTAATCCTTTAATTATTGAATGTTCTATTTAAATGATTACCTACCATCTATCCACTCTGAACAAGATACTGAAGAGGCACATGAATAAGGTCATTAAAATTCATAGAAGCTACAATTTTGTTTTTAAAACTAGTGATTTCCCTATAAAGTTTAAAACATCATTTTGTATATTTCATGGAATAAAATGTTACAGTAAAAAAACCACAAATTTTTCATGGTTTACATAAAAATGAAATTGGCATGGTGTATTTTAAGGTACCTTAATTTATAATAATACACACCCAAGTGTGTGTTTTTTTTTTTTTTTTAAAGATTTTATTTATTTATTTGACAGAGAAAGACACAGCGAGAGAGGGAACACAAACGGGGAGTGGGAGAGGGAGAAGCAGACTCCCCGCCGAGCAGGGAGCCCGATGCGGGACTCGATCCAGGGACTCCAGGATCATGACCTGAGCCGAAGGCAGTCGCTTAACCAACTGAGCCACCCAGGCGCCCCCCAAGTGTGTTCTTTAAAATGAGGACAGTCTTTTCTATGCAGTCTTCACCACTCAACTTACCTGAACACAGATTCTAGTTTTTTCAAATATCTATTAATAATTCACTGAATACCAGGAGATTCCATCTTGGGTTTTACCAAAAATTCCAAGAGTGTCAAACTTCGTTGAATCAAGCCGGATTTTTATACATCCCGAGGTAGTTTACCTTTTAAAGTAAGCCTGTTATCTTGCCGTCTCTTTGGTAGCACTAGGGTTTTATCAAGGCAGCTTAAAGGAAGCCACTTTCTTGTCTCTCCTCCCAGCACTAACATCCCATTTCACCTCTCCTCCCTCAGTGCATCTCAAATCTTTTGCTTTGCTCTCTTATTCCAGGAGAAATCCCAGCTACCAGAATTGTATTCATCAGATTTTAGAACCCTGCTGTAGCGGTGGGGCCTTCCACACCATGTCAGACCAGCACCAAACCAAGAGTGAGAAACTCACAGAGCTTAGCTGGATGAACAGCAAAGGGGTGAGCTGCAATTGCAAACAAACTGGATTGTTCTCAAAATCCTATGAGAAATACCTTGGAAGGCCAAGAAAAAGTAGTTGAGCCAAAGAGTTCATGGAGCCCAGTTTATACTGGTCTCTGAAGACTGCTGTTCTCAGATCTCTAGTGATTTATCAGTATTTTCCCATCATCGGCACCACAAACTTTATAGGTATAAAGTTGTTTTATCTATCTGTCTCCAATTATGTATTAACATGATTGATGGAAAATGCATGCAATGTGTAAGGTAACTATATACATACTCATAGTAATTCTATTCATTCTCCTGTTCTACAGCAAAGTCCTAAGAGCACAAGATTATATAGGGCATGGCTTTTTTTCCAAGTAGAAAACAAATTCACACAAAGTACAAGGGCTATTCAAATGAGAGCCTAGATACAGTATTTTATAAACCAGCAAACTTTAAGAAAGACAAGTATAAATTGCCAGCTGATCAAGTAACTGCAAAATTTTTACCAATTTAATTTTTTTAACCAGGAAGAAGAAAGGAAAAGGAAGACTATTTTTTCTCCTACCTATGATAAACATGTCAATAGCAGCTGGATTCCGAGCCATTTGGTCCTAGGTGAGAAAAAGAATATTGTAATTGAGAAAAAGACATTTTACTTAATTTCTCATTGTTCATTATCTGTATCCTTCCCTGGAGACAAGGCAGAATAGATAAAAATAACAAGTGCTCTAACCAACACTCGGACATTACTCATACTTTTCAGTCCCTGCTCTGATGATTTCTATATTTAGGTCCTTTCTAAAAAGAAGAGTGCCAGGCACTTCTCAATAACAGTTAAAACACTTATGTACTGCGATTACTGTTACAGTGAACTAAAAAATTACCCTTTAGTTAGGAAGTAAAGGTAAGATGATATATATGCCTATTAAGAAAGGGCTTTAGATTCGGAGTCAAGAGACCTGAACAATTCTAGGTTGGTCACTTCTCTCACTAAGCCCTCATCCTACAATCTTACAGAGGTATCAAGTAAAAAATGAGCTAAAATGCATGAAAATATTTAGGAAAAAATAAAACTATGGAAGCTCTTTAAATATTTTCAATGTTATATGGAATCACATGTCTCGGGTATCTATGATTTTCTATTTTAAATTCCTCTTTTAAGTTAAAAGTTCACATTTTGGCAAAAATGAAGCCAGAAGATCTACAACTGAGAAATTACAAAGAACTGAAGAAATAAGAATGAAACCAAATACCACATTTTCTGTGATCATATTTAAATCTTAACAAAAGCCTCCTAAAAATGGATACACACTTCAGCAACTCAACTATGTAATGAAGAGTTTAAAAAGTTTCTATTGCACTCGGAACTTGAGTCAAATGATGTTCAAAAGCTAAATTTTTAAAGTCAGAAATGTATATTATAATTACTTCAACATATCGCTTTAGTTTTTCTTAAACTTAAATTGCCTTAACACATATCACAGCCTACCCTCTGTGTGCACAATGGTTTGCATTGTTTGTCCACAGGTAAAATTTTCCTTTGGCATTCCATAATGTCAGAATATTATGACTGAATATTAGCCCTCTAATTAGATGGGTCTATAATCAAATTGTATAATGCTCTATGCCCATTCTACAGCCCTGAAAACTCCTACTGCACACATTTATACACTCATCAGAACATATCTTATAGCTGCATTTAAACACCCTTCCTACTTACTGGACATTGGTAAAAAACTTCATTTTTGTTTCGGCCCTCCGCAGCTTCCACTGCTATGTACTGACTCAAACCAGTATGTATGCAAAAAGTTAAAGGGAGACAGTATTTCAGTCCCTGTCTCTGCTGGAAGCCTCCAGCGGCTGTATCGACGTCTAACAAATCCTCCGAACGATAGTGATTAGACAGCGCCATACTTCCCAACAACCTGAGAGCACAAAAATTTAATCAATTTCAGTGCCAAACAAACAGCTGTGCTTCATCTTTTTGATGAATGATAATTTCCTACTGACAGCTTTATAAGAACTGATTAACATGTCAATCACCAAAAACATTACAATTTCTTTACATTCAAACTCGAGTGGAAAGATTCTGATTTAAATTAAAAGCCTAAATGTCTAAAATGTCTAAAAAGCCTTTTTTTTTTTTTTTTAAGATTTTATTTATTTATTCATGAGAGACAAAGAGAGAGAGAGAGAGAAGCAGGCTCCCAAGGAGCAGGGAGCCCGATGCGGGACTCGATCCCAGGACCCTGGGATCATGACCTGAGCCGAAGGCAGACGCTTAACCATCTGAGCCACCCAGGCGCCCTAAAAAGCCTTTTTAAAAGAAAAATAGTTTACTGCTTTCAAGACTATCTTGCCGGGATATACTGATTTGCTAGTGTTTTGCTATATATGCATGTGTGACTATTTTAAAGTTTAAAGCAGTAAACTCTGATACCTTTATCTTGATACAACTTTTAGCTTATCCTATCCTCCCAGACAATATTAATGTAAATCAATCTAAACCTTGCCCAAATTTTCATAAACTTGGGATGCATGGGGTCTAAACTGATCTCACTGCATATACATGAGAACAGAGGTATTGGTCCTTGATGGAAGGAATCCTTGATGATAGGATTCCTATCCTAAAGTTTCACTGTTTAGACTGTGGATAGATATAAATCCCTGCGTAGAAATTATGACCTGGGGGCGCCTGGGTGGCTCAGTCGTTAAGCGTCTGCCTTTGGCTCGGGTCATGATCCCAGGGTCCGGGGACTGAGCCCCGCATTGGGCTCCCTGCTCAGCGGGGAGCCTGCTTCTCCCTCTCCCACTCCCCCTGCCTGTGTTCCCTCTCTTGCTGTCTCTGTCAAATAAATAAAATCTTAAAAAAAAAGAAAGAAAGAAAGAAAGAAAGAAATTATGACCTGTTTGTCGTGTCAATTCTGGGCAACTCTTTTAATAAAGTTCTCTCTTATTTGCTCTTGAAATATGACAATTTTTCAATTTTTGTCAAGTTTCAGTTCAATAGGGAAAAAAGACTAGAAAAAAACAGCTAGTAATTTCGGCTTATCTCATCATAACTGCCCAATATTTGATTTCTGCATACTACCTTATAATCTCAGTATGATCACCCTGTACTCACTCAACCCTGATCTAAAATGGTAACAAGGCCTCATATGATTCTTCACACACAGAGACACCACATTCCATTAAGAACAATGCAAAGTTCTCCCTAAGTTCTTATGAACATTTCATAAGTGCAACGTCTCTGAAATAGCTTAATTTCATAAAAGAACAAAAGGAGTAGGCCCAAAGTATAGCTTTCAACACTGTGAATGAATTTGACAGCTACTGTATGTCTGCTTTTGCCAAAAGGTTCCACAATGAGTACTTCCTCTTAAAAATAGGCCACTCAATTACAAGCTATGCCTGAATAGGACAAAAATCTATTTTCTTTAGTGTATGTAGCTCTGAATAAATTATTGCTTTTTACATGTATGGTACACAGAATTTACATCAAGCTCTCCAAAACAATTTACCTGGCCTATAATAGGATAAAGACCTCAAGGGTTCTGAACAGTTTTAGTTAAAATATACTCGCACACATACCCACCCTATGTACCACAGCATGCACCCCAACCCCAACCAGACTTCATTTTTTTTTTTTTAAAGATTTTATTTATTTATTCATGAGAGACAGAGAGAAACAGAGGGAGAAGCAGGCTCCCAAGGAGCAGGAAGCCCGATGCGGGACTCGATCCCAGGACCCTGGGATCATGACCTGAGCCGAAGGCAGACGCTTAACCATCTGAGCCACCCAGGCGCCCCAGACTTCATTTTTTTTTTTTTTTAAAGATTTTATTTATTTATTTGAGACAGAGAGAATGAGAGAGAGAGCACATGAGAGGGGGGAGGGTCAGAGGGAGAAGCAGACCCCCCGCTGAGCAGGGAGCCCGATGCGGGACTCGATCCCGGGACTCCAGGATCATGACCTGAGCCGAAGGCAGTCGCTTAACCAACTGAGCCACCCAGGCGCCCCCCAGACTTCATTTTAAGTATAAAGATGCATTGATAAAAATGCTGTTTTTATGAGACATATTTATTTTGGGAAAATCAAATTCAAGCAATAGATTCTGTCTTTTGGATTCTTATAAGGAAGAAGAGGGAATTCCTATACTCCTTTAATCTGTTAAGAGTAACTACAAATTGTATTTGTTTATTTTCATTCTGGGAAATGACGTGTGTCACTAAAAATAACTCAAATGGCAAACATTCTTACCCAGGAACCACTAACTTCTGCCCATTGTGGATACGATACGAACATCGATAATCATCAGGAAGCTTGCAACCAATCTGAGCTTCCACAGCATCTAGGTCTTCCTCTCGAGCACCCTCTGCAAATGCACAAAAAAACAAATTATGAAGAAACAATAAGCCTTATAGCTAAGGAGAAATACAATCTGCTGCTAGCCAGTGAAACAATCTTAGAGCAAGTGAATTCTGTCCAAATTGTACTGATGAAATATAGAGAAATAAATTGAAAATGCAGAGCAACATTTCACTTTGGCTTGGCTCTGACATTTGAAGCATTGAGAAGGAAATTCCTCAGTTTCCTCTCAACAGGGAAAACACTGGCACTCAGTAAAATATGGATAGGTATGCAGGAGGGAGATGCATTGTAATTACTTCACATTACAATGCAAGGGTATACCTCATTTTTCTTAATCTAAACACTCACATTTAAAACACACTCTCTATTAAAAAAAACTCCCCAGAAGTTCTCTAAACTGATGTTGTTCAAGAGTCTTGACATTGTCTCTTAATGAGAAATACAGGACATAGGTAGGTATAGATTCATACTGTAGGGAAGCCACTAACTTAAATCCAATTTTGCATGTTTGTCAGCTTGCCATCTATTCCAGCTTTAAAAAGCAGGAAGTGATTACAAATACCAAAAGAAGAGATTCATTTCCACTAATGGTTCACCAGGTGGTTGGAGCAAACCTCTTGTCAAGAACTAGAAAAGCGGAACAACAGAAAATTGGTTTCAAGGCTTTTGGAGAACCCCAAAGACAGTGAGAACTGGGGGAGAGAGGCAGTCACAAGAATTGGGAAACTGAAGGGTTAGCCGGGCCTTTGCAGCAAGCCTGTCTTGGAGGCAATTGCCAATTCTGAAAGCAGACCGGTGGCTGAGAAGCTGAGCAAAACTTACAGAAGCAGTACGAGAGAATTTTCCAAAATCGATGAAACCATCAAACCATAGATTGAAGAAGCACTATAAACCCTGTGGAGAATAGTTATAAAGAAAATCATATCGGGGCGCCTGGGTGGCTCAGTCGTTAAGCATCTGCCTTTGGCTCAGGTGAGGATCCCAGGGTCCTGGGATCGAGCCCCGCATCGGACTCCCCCTGCTCAGCGGGAAGCCTGCTTCTCCCTCTCCCACTCCCCCTGCTTGTGTTCCCTCTCTCGCTGTGTCTCTCTCTGTCAAATAAATAAATTAAAAAAAAAAAAAGAAAAAAGAAAGAAAAGAAAATTGTATCTAGGCACATTATTGGGAAACCACTGAAAATCAAAGACAAAGAGAAATCTTAAAAGGAGCCAAAGAAGGGGAAAAGCCATACAATCACTTTGAAAGGAACAACAATAAGACTAACAGCTACATTCTCAACAGAAACAATAGAAGGCAGAAGAAGGATAGCTTCAAAGTGGTAAAAAAAAAAAAAAAAAACCTGTTGGGGCACCTGGGTGGCTCAGTCGTTAAGCACCTGCCTTCGGCTCAGGTCATGATCCCAGGGTCCTGAGATCGAGCCCCACGTCGGGCTCCCTGCTCTCCCTGCTCAGCAGGAATCCTGCTTCTCCCTCTGCCTCTTCCCTCTGCTCATGCTCTCTATCTCTCAAACAATCTTTAAAAAAAAAAGTTATTAAAAAAAAAAAACCCTGTTGACTAGAATTCTATATCCACTGAATATATACTTCAAAAGGGTAGATAAATACATTTTTAAAAAAATATTTTATTTATTTATTCATGAGAGACAGAGAGAGAGAGAGAGGCAGAGGGAGAAGCAGGCTCCCAAGGAGCAGGGAGCCCGATGTGGGACTCGATCCCAGGACCCTGGGATCATGACCTGAGCCGAAGGCAGACGCTTAACCATCTGAGCCACCCAGGCGCCCCGATAAATACATTTTTGAACAACAAAAAAAATCTGAAAAAATTCAGCAGTAGTAATCCCTCATTTAAAAAAAATACTAAAAGGAATTCTTCAGGTAGAAGAAAAATGATCCCAGATGAAAGCATGAAGATGCAGGAAGAAATGAAGAACAATGAGAAAAGGTAAAAATGGAGGTAAATCTAAAATAAAATTGAATATATAAAATAATAATAATGTTTTCAGGGATAGAAAATACGTTCAAAATTAAAATCACAAAAACTATAGTGTGAAAGGCAAGAGGGTGATAATTGAGTATTCTAAGTTTCTTTTATTGACCAGGAAGTGGTAAAAATAAAAATTTACAATAGATTTTAATTAAGTCAGAGATGCATCATTTAATCTCTAGGGTAAATCACTAAAAATGATAAATAAGAAAGGGAGGTACAGAATAAAAGATAATTAAGAAGAACAGAAAAAAAGGAACACTTGCTCAGGAGCACAAATAAAAAAAAAATAAGAACACAGTATATTGGGGCGCCCAGGTGGCTAAGTCGTTAAGTGTCTGCTTTCGGCTCAGGTCCTGTGGGATCGAGCCCTGCATCGGGCTCCCTGCTCAGCAGGAAGCCTGCTTCTCCCTCTCCCTCTCCCCCTGCCTGTGTTCACTCTCCCACTGTCACTCTCTGTCAAATAAATAAATAAAATCTTAAAAAAAAAAAATTTAAAAAAAGAACACAGTATATTTAAACTCAAATACATTAGTAATTACATTAAATACAAATAAATGAAATAATCTAATATTAAAAGACTGACCAGATAAAAAACACAATCATGTACAAGAGGCACATCTTAGAGATGTAGATATGTAAAAGAAAGTTAAAATAGCTGTACTAAAATCACTAAAATAGACCTTAAGGCACACAGCATTATCAGAGGTAATGGAAGATTTTTTTAAATGGCAAAAAAGGTGCACCTAATAACCCAACTTCAAAATATATTTTTTAAAATAACAGAATTAAAATGGAAAAAAGATGTATCCACAACCATAGTTATTAGTTTTCTATTGCTATACTCTTAGCAGCTTAAAACAACATGCATTTATTATCCCATAGTTTCTGAAGGTAAGAAGTCTGGGCATGACTGAACTGGATCCTCTGCTCGGGTCCCACAGGCTAAAAACACCATGTCAACTGTGGCTGCTATCGCAGGTTATGCATCTTATGCTTGGGGTCGTCATCCAAGTTCACTGGTTATTGTCAGAATTCATTTCCTTGCAGTCGCACAACTGGGGCCCTCAGCTCCTAGAAACTACCTGCCATTCTCTATCACCTGGCCCTGAGCATAACATGCCAGTTTGCTTATTCAAAGCCAACAGGAAAGACCCATGCTTCAAAATCTCTCTGTCTTCTGGAAGGGCCCAGTTTTTAAGGGCTCACCTGATTAGGTCAGGCCTGTTCAGGATAATTTCCCTTTTGATTAACGATTAACTCAAATTCAACTAATTTGGGACCTTAATTACATCTGCAAAGCCCATTCACCTTTGTCATCTATTACCTAATAACAAGACTGAAATCAATTATATCCCCAGTACCACTCACACTCAAAGGAAGGCTATTATTATACCAGGCATGTACAGCGAGGGTAGGAATCTTTGGAGCTATCTCATAACTCTGCCTACCACACTGATAAGTTTTAACATACCTCTCTCAGTAACTAATAGAACAAGTGGACAACAAAAAACAAATAAAATAAAATAAAATAAAATCAATAAGAGTACAAAAGATTTGAACAAGACTAACATTTTTTGCCTAAATTATATACATAGTACTGAATCCAACAATTGCAAAATATACATTCTTTTCAAGTGTACAAGGAACATTTACCAAGAGAGATTATATGCTGGACCAGAGAACAAATCACAACAAATTTCAAATGACTGAACTTACATAGAGTATATTCTCTGATCCCAGCAGAACTGAAGTATAAATTATATTAAGAAAATTACAAAAAAAACCCCAAATATTTGGAAATCTAGCAATACATCTCTATATAAACCTGTGAGTCAAAGAAGAAATCAAAAGAAATCAGAAAATATTTTGAACTGCATGTTAATGAAAATACAACATATTAAAACTTATGAGATAAAGCTAAAGCTATGCTTAGAGGGAAATTTATAGCAAAAGCTATTGAAGAAAACAAAGCCTAAAAATTTATGATCTAATCATCTCAAGTCAAGGAAAATGCCACAGTAAACTCAGAAAGAATCAGAGAAATTAATGAAATAATAAGAAATGAATATAGAGAGAACTGACAAAGGCTAAGCCAGTTTTTTGAAAAGGCTAGTAAGATTAACCCCTACCAGCATGTGACTCTCGATCTCAGGGTTGTGAGTTCAAGCCCCACATTGGGTGTAGAGATTACTTAAAATAAAATCTTAAAAAATAAATTAGTAAATAAACAAATAAAATTTTACCTAATTTACGTGTTCTTTTTTCCTAATTATCAAACTTGGGAAAATTCCCAAGAAGTCCACCAATCCTCAATAAACACTCCTAAAAATAAAAATTTCACAATTTCTTTCTGGATCTCACTCGCAACAGGGCCATGGCTAAGGACACAAGTATCAGCCTCGCTGCACAGCTTGCCAGAAGCCGTGAGTCAGCCTGCTCCCATCAGAAGACTGGAAGCAAGTCACCCATCTACTTCATGGCTCAGGTTTTGCACTGGAGAAATTGAAAATAAAGCACCTGCCCCTGTTTTATGTTAAAAAAAAAAAAGAAAGAAAGAAAAAAAAAGATTAACCCCTACCTAGTAAGACTGATAAAAAAATAACAGAAAAAGCACACGAGAGGCGCCTGGGTGGCTCAGTTGTTAAGTGTCTGCCTTCAGCTCAGGTCATGATCCCAGGGTCCTGGAATCGAGCCCCGCATCGGGCTCCCTGCTCTGCGGGAAGCCTGCTTCTCCCTCTCCCACTCCCCCTGCTTGTGTTCCCTCTCTCGCTGTGTTTCTCTCTGTCAAATAAATAAATTACATCTCTAAAAAAAAGAAAAAGCACAAACAATATCAGAAATGGAAAGGTGAAATCACTACAGATCCAACAAGCACTGCAAAGGTGAATGGATATTATAAAAAACTTCACAGCAATGTACTGGAATATGTAAATAAAGTGGACAATTTCCTAGAAAAATACTCAAGTTTACATTAAGAATAAGTAGAAAATCTGAACAGTCCTATATCTAATAAAGAAACTGCATCTTTAACTTAAAACCTTCCCACAATGAAAACTCCAGAATTGAATGGCTTCACTGGTGCATTCTATGAATAATTTAAGCAAGAAATAATATCAAGCTTACGTAAACTCTTCCAGAGAACAGAAAAAGAAGTAACACTTCCTGACTTGTTTTATAAAGCCAGCATCATCTTGATACCAAAACCTGACAAGAACATTTTTAAGATGGAAAAATTATAGGCCAAAGTTTCTCATGAACATAGATGTAAAAATCCCAATCAAATACTAGCATATCAAATCCAACATTCAAAAAGGATATTACAGGGCGCCTCGGTGGCTCAGATGGTTAAGCGACTGCTTCGACTCAGGTCATGATCCCAGGGTCCTTGGATCGAGTCCCGCATCGGGCTCCCTGCTAGGCGGAGAGCCTGCTTCTCCCTCTGCCTCTGCCTCTGCCTCTCTCTCTCTCTGACTCTCATGAATAAATAAACATTTAAAAAAAAAAAAAAAGGATATTACAGCCAAAGTTAACTTTATTCCAGAAATGCAAAGTTGGTTTAATATTCAGAAAAAAATCAATGAATGCAATTCGGGACATTAACAGAATGAAGTAGAAAATCATGTGATAATCACAAGGTTGGAAAGTCACTTGACAAAAATTCAAGGATCCATTTAAAACACAAAAACAAAAAACCTCTCCACAAACTAGAATCAGAAGAGACTTTCTTCAATGTGATAAAGACTATCTATTAAAAAACCTACAGCAAACATCATTTAATTTTTTTTTTAAAGATTTGATTTATTTATCTGACAGAGAGAGACACAGCGGGAGAGGGAACACAAGCAGGGCGAGTGGGAGAGGGAGAAGCAGGCCTCCTGCAGAGCAGGGAGCCCAATGTGGGGCTTGATCCCAGGACCCTGGGATCATGACCCGAGCCAAAGGCAGACGCTTAACAACTGAGCCACCCAGGCGCCCCAGCAAACATCATTTTTAAAGAAGTGTTGAAAGCTTTTCCTCTGTGATCAGAAAGATAGGACACTCATTATCATCATTCCTATCCAATACTGTACTGAAGGCCCTAGCCAGTGCAGTAAAGCAGGAAAAAAAATGACATGAAAATTGGAAAGCTAGAAATAAAACTGTCATTATTCAACATCCTTAGGGAAATGCAAATTAAAACTACCACTACATAGCCACTAGAAAGGCTGAAAAAAAAAAAAAAGACAACATTAAAGTACTGGTGGGAATGTAAAGTTTTAGAACCACTTTGGAAAATTAATAGTATCTTTTGCAAGTTTAATATAAGCATACTCTACAACCCAAGAAACTCAATCCTAGATATTTACCTAATGGAAGTATGCTCATATGTACATCAAAAATTATTTGCAACATTAATCATAATAGCCAAAAAGCTAGAGACAACCCAATATCCATCAACAGTAGAATGAATCTATAAATCATAGTCTACCCATATAATGGTAGACCATACTCACGACAAAAATGAACAAACTACTGTTACACACAACACAGCTGAATCTCACAAACAAAACGGAAAAAATTCACACAAAATATATACTTAATCATGCAAATTATATAAAGTTCAAAAAGAGAGAAAACTACTCAGTGGTATTAGCATTCAGGATAGTGGTTACTTCTGAGAAAGAAGGAAGATTCTAGGTACAGAAAATCATTCTACTTCTTGACCAGGAGGGTGTTACAATGGTCATGTTTACGTTGTGATAATTTACCGAGCTGTACACTTAGAATCCACACACATTTTTGTATGTTAGTTAACATCACTAGTGATGGCATGTGGATATCATGTGTCCCTAGGTATGATGTGGTAAGGGGGGCACTTCACCTTTGTGGTAATCTTTCTAAAAGCCCATTATTCCAATCTAATCATAAGTAATACTTCAGACAAAGCCAATTTGCAGAATATTCTACAAAATACCTGACCAGTACTCCTTCAAACTGTCAAGATCATGCAAGACAAGGAAAGACTGAGAAACTGCCACACACCAGAAGACACTAAGGAGACATGACAACTAAATGCAATGTGGTATTCTGGATTGAATTCTGAAATCCAAAAAGGATATTAATGGAAAATGTGGCGAAATCCAAACGAAGTCTGGAGTTTAGTTAATAGTAATATGCCAACAAAAACTGTAGCTTTGACAAACGTCCCACAGGGAGATACGTTAGGGGAAACTGAAACTAGGTGAGGGGTGTACAAGAACTCTCTGTACTGTCTTTGCAACTTTTCTGTAATCTAAAATTACTCCAAAATAAAAAGTTTACAAATAAAAAAGTTTAGTACAAAAGAAAACAAGCTGAATAGCTGCCTGAGCCAGAAATCGATGAGGAAAGAAACTAATATTGGTATGGTCAGTGCTACATGTTGGACATTAGAACATTAAGAAACTAAGAATTTCTTGAAGAGACAGCTGGACAGAAAAAAGTAAAACAACAACAAGAGAAAAATATAAGGAAATACATGTTTACAATACAACAAAATCAAGGTTTAGAGGGGCAACCTGTTAATAGGAGAATTTGGGAGCCGCCCAGACCAGGTTCAAATCTCAGCTCTACCACTTACTAGCTCTGTGATCTCTGGCAAGTTATTTCACCTCTTTAACCCTGTTTCATCTGCAAAATGGGGGATAATACTACCTACTTGAGACAATTATCCCGAGGATTAAATAAGCTCCCTCTGCTTAATAAAGTGCTTTGCTGGCACTCAATAAATGTTCATTTACTTTCCTTGCCCCTTAGCCTACTTCTGTGAAAAAGCAGGGAAGAGGTTACCAGGAGTTACCCATCACTTACTAGTTAGGGGACCTTGTGTAAGTCACCTAAAACTCCTCTGAGCCTGTTCCTTCACCTGTAGAACGAGGGAACTAGTATAAATCAGGGATTGGCAAACCACAGCCTGTAGATCACATCCCAGCTTGCCGCCTGTTTCTGTAAATAAGTTTTCTTGGAACACTGCCATCCCCTTTGTTTAGGTATTGTCTACAGCTGCTTCCCCACAGTAACAGGAGAGTTGAATAGTTGTGACAGAGACTATCTCTCTCTCAAAGACTAAAATATTTACTATCTGGCCATTTAAAGAAAAAGTTGGCTAACCCCTGGTCTAAATGGTCTCAAAGGCCCCTTTCAACTCTAAAGTTCTAAGCCCACATGTAAGGTAAATATGAAATTCGAAGATACATGATATACCATTAGATAATTCCAAGTTACTCTGTAAAACTTTCCCCAAGTCCAGTGCCTATTTGCTTTCCAAGTTTCCTTTCTATCTCTGCCATCTCCATAACCTTGAGACTGAGTCAAGGACTGTGGCCCTTGAGGTGAACAGCTAGTTCCTGACTCAGTACTACAACTCATAGGTCTGGCATCCCTAACGTACCCAGCATTCTAGATATCAAACAGCTTTTACCCCATTCCAACTCACAGCAAAACCCCCAGAGAACTGGCACTTGGCAGTAAAACAAGGGCTATCAGGGAAGTCTCTGACAACCTTACCTCCAACCACCAGATACAGAACAGTGAGCAGCAAACCTGGGAATGCCAAATGGAGGGAAAAAAAAAAGGAGGAAGAAAGAAAAAGAAAGAAGCTGCTATGTATCTTTAGTTTCTTCCTTTCTTGGTAGCTCTGTGCCTCAAAGGAGAACCATGCCTACATTTTCATATTCTAAACGTCCTAATATTGGACTAGCTCTCTAAGAGTCCTAAGCACTCTGGACAAAATAGAATAGGTCCTCTCTCCCTTCAATTGTTAAGACCATAGCTCTCGCATAAGTTCTGTATTCAAATCCTGGCTCTTTTATTTTGTGATGGCAAACAGCTTGCTTAGTTTATTATGTCTTAGGTATTTCACCTATATAATGAGAATAATAATTGTCTACACCTCATAAGATCTTGGCGAATTAAATGGAATAATATAAGTACTTAGCTTAGTGCCTTACTTTGTGTATAATAAAAAATAGCTATTACAAATCCTTACCTATTTTATTTATCACCACCAAATACCTATTTTTGGAATTACTTTCCTCTTGCAATTATTTAACCCCACATACCAAGTGGATATTATTCTCCCTCCCCCAAAAAAAGGAAAAGAAAAAATCTATTAAAGATATTAATCAAGGATACTTTCCTTCAAAGCTCTACTCTCTCTACCAAATCACTCTTTCCTCTACCTCCCAGCAATTCGGTTTGAAGTACCTAGTCATGCGATCCTGGTCTGTATGAAATTCGTATTTGCATGGGAAGTTACAGTGGAAATATGACATGTAAAAGGAATACTGTTTCCAAAGAGACCTTAATTCAAAAGGAATACATGTGAGAACTGATTCCAGTTTCAGCTCAGTAGAACCAAAACATGTTTAAAATTCCTTTGGAGAAATCTGAAAAAACCTGAAGCTAAAGCAGGTAAGTAGCAATATATCTGCAATCTGTTTATGTACTTTCTTGGGCATAAATTAACAAATCAAATTAGTGGGAAATAGCTTGTTAATATTTCTTGCCAGAGCTGGACAATAACAGTATAGTAGAAAGACCACAAATTCTGAGGTCAAATAGACCTTAGTTCAAATCTTAGTTTTCACTATTCTGTAAATGTCAAAATAGGGATGAAAGTTTTCCTTACTTTATTATGCTGCTCTTATACTCTGAAAGACCCAGGTCTTTAGTATTTGGTCTTTCTAAATCATTAGACTATCAAACAAAACTTTACTTGCACTAAAAATAAGAGGGTTAGCACAGGAGGCCATTTTTCGATTAAAAAAAAACTCCTTTGAAAGAAATCACAATAATTATCCTCAAGCAATCTTAGCGTTAGTGAGCTTATTAAAAAACAAATGTAAAGGGGCGCCTGGGTGGCTCAGTCATTAAGCGGCTGCCTTCGGCTCAGGTCATGATCCCAGGGTCCTGGGATTGAGCCCCGCATCGGACTCCCTGCTCAGCGGGGAGCCTGCTTCTCCCTCTCCCACTCGCCCTGCTTGTGTTCCCTCTCTTGCTGTGTCTCTCTCTGTCAAATAAATAAATAAAATCTTAAAAAAAATAAATAAAAAATAAAACAAACGTAAGGACACTAGGAGTTCAGCTTTCCCTTCTAATAAATAATCACGTGGGTCCCAAGGCAGGCAAAAATGGGATAAGCAGTAGAGCAAGGCTCCTTTTAGCAATATAGGCTTCCTATTTCCTTGGCCAAATGTGAATAGTGAATTACAGATAATGTTGGTAAATGACAGATTAGCATAGATGATAGAAACCCAAAGTTATTTAACCTATTTATACTATAGTTACTAAAATGAAGGGAGACCCTGCATTGCCAGTACCTTTCAGAGATAAAACCATCCGAGGACATCTGGGCTCCAAATATTTCTTGAGATCATCCCAGGCCTTTTTAATGGCAGCATAATGGTCAATGTATCTTCCTACATCAGAGTAAGTATCTATGAAGAGAGATTTCCAACACTGATTCTTCTGTGTTTTCTCTTCCCTAAATAGATTTTAAAACATGAGATTAAAAATCTTTTGAAATGAAATTAAACACTTACCAACATACTTTATTGGGAATTTGTGCTTACTTTTGCCTTCCTTTTCATTTATTTTAGCTACAAATGAAGACTAGATAACAAAAGTGATACATACATCAAAAAATCTAACAGGAGTTATTGCTGGCATGGTGGGATTATGAGTCACCTATTTTCTTACTTTCTACTTATTTTTTTCCCTAAGTTTTCAAATCCTTAATGAAATATAATGTGAATTGTATAGGAGGTATGAATTTCAACTTACTCCTTAAAGCATACCAATTATAAAGTTTTAAAACACATACGTAGCTGTTCTATTTTAGAAATTATTCGGAATTTAATGATATACTACTACTAATCTAATTTACCTCCATTGGATTAGCCAGGAAATCATATAGCACTGAAAGTAATCACATGATTTAATATCTCTATTTGGTACAATTCCAAAAACATCTATTGAGTGTCTACTCAGCCACTGAGGACATTAAAAATTAAGCACCTTTTTTGCCCTCAAAAATATATATATTCTAATCAGGGAGAAAGAATGAAGTGTCAATTTATGAGTCGGAAGTGGTATAGGATAAGGCAGCCACAAAGGGCCTTCTGGTATCCTGCTAATGAGGTTGGACTTTATCCTGTAGGGAATGGAGAGCTACTAAAGGGTTTTAACAGGGGAGTTGAAAGAGCAGAACTGTGGTTGTGGTTTGGGAGGTGTGTAAACTAGAGGCACAAGAGACGAGTCAAGAGGGTTTTGAGTAGTCCAGGTAAGAGATGATGAACTGAACTAAAACTGGTAGCTAGATGAAATGAGAAGGAAAATTCAAGAAATATACAGAGGCTAAAATCAGAAAGGCTTGGTAACTGAATGAATGTAGGGACAGAAAGAGAGGAGATCTAGGATGGTTCCTGTTTCTGGCATAAATACCCAGGTGGATGCTTCTGCCATGAGGACTAGGAATGCAGGAGGATCAGGTTTAGGGATGGTGAAAAGAACAATTCAGGGTGTTGTTTTGGCTGGGAGGCAGGAGTGGAGGGTGGGGGCTGGGGGCAGGAGTTGGAAGCAAAGCATCTTTTTATTAATCAAAATAATATATATACATATTATCAAAACCAAAAAGTACCAAAGAACTTACGATGAACAATCAGTCTCCTAGTCTAATCCCAACCCTTCAAAGGAAACTTTAGTTATTTCTGCAAGTTATCTCTGTAACTCTAGACGTTCATGCCTCTACACTTGATTTATCAATTTTACATCTATCTACTGATACCCCAAAGTAAAAGATCAGTTCATGGCAATACTTAAAATGTCTTCTTCCCCATTCTGCCTCCTCCCAGTGTTTGATAACCCTGTTATATTTAGTTCTATTAGGTAGCTTGCAACTTTAAATAATATACTTAGACCTCTAGTTCTTCCTTTGCCAACTTGTCACTACTTGATTCCCCTCGATCTAAGAAAAAGATATTGGCAACCCCACCTTCCCTTTCATCTTTCCCAACTGCCACCTTCTGTCAACTACACTTTGATTCTGTCAAATTTATTACATTTACTGAACTCAGAGAGCCCTTGTGGGTGATCCAATTAAGATCTCGGTGGGGATGTCAGGGATGGACATTCAGGTTTGGGAGTGAGGAGCACACTGTTGCCACCATAAATGGCAACAGTGCATGCAGAATTCACAGAGGGAGAAGAGCGGTGGCCCAAGGACAGAGTTTGGAGAACACCAGCATTTACTGGCAGGCACAAGAAGAGCCTCAAAGGAGATAAAGAGACAAGGGTGAGAGAAGAGAATCAGGACAGACTAGTGTTATGGAAGCCAAGGGCCGAATTTCAAAATTACATTATTTCCTGAATACTCACTCAGATATCAGCCAGTATTTTTTGCAATGTCTTCTCCACAGTGGATCATGACTTGATAGCTGGCTAAGTCTTCGACTGACATAGCAACAACTGGCAATAACCAGATTCATGGTTAGTATAAAAGAAAATAAGAAAACAATTTAGAAATAAAGATAAAAATATTCAATGTTGTTTTCTTTCATTCCTTTTGCTTTTCTTATTTCCCACTTTCTACCCTTGTAATTGTAAAACAATTATTTTCTAAAACCTGTTTGGCATGTTAGCTAGTATAATTAGCTTGTAAGTGGTGAAATCTTAACTATTTGAGTTCACAAATAAACCCCAAAACCTCGGCAACTGTAATTTTCATATGAAAGTCTATAAAACATATAAACCATTGGAGTTAATTTCAAATCAAAGAGTTTTCCTACACTTATTATTGGGATGGTATTTCTACATGTAGGAAGAAACGTTAATCAGGTATAAACAAAATGGTTTTCTTTTTAAGATCTGTGACACATTTGATATTAAATACATAAGCCTTTTGTCTGTTTTGTTCCAATTTTTTCTTAAAGGAAAGAAATACTGCAGCCAAAATCAATCTTAATTATAGCAACTATTGGAGAGCCCATTTATAAAATACATTGGATTCATAATAGTTCTAATTCAATATCTATAGCAATCCAAGTTAGTATCAGCTACTCAAAATCACGGAATGTTGGAAATAATTTTCTTATTATATAGAAATTTCTAATACAATAGTGCTCCAGTCCTGTAAAGACTACCCTAATTAATTTGCAAAAAGAATGAACCTAGGATTAGGAAAATGGATTTCTATCCTCTCAAAAGAGGAATCACAAGTTACAGAAAGTTGATACTCAAAGATCTCAGTTGGGCAATAGGTAGTCAACTAAGTGAATCTTAAATTACATGGGATTTGTCAAGGCCCTGACTGGGGCATGTTAAAAACCAACTGATGGTAAACAAAATAGCCTTCGTTCGATTTTCAGATTTCACACAAATATCCTCATCCTTTTATGCCAAGCTCAGGAAGTGCCCAAACAAACACTTGCAAACATAGGAATCCCTCCAGTTTTGTCAATTCAGAGTCCACTCCCTCTTTTCTTGATCCTTCTCTCTCCACTGTCCCAAGAGGTAAACAACAAAAAAGAATCTCTGGAATAAGCACCAAAGGAGATTTTGATGCACATGAAGGATGAGAACAACTGTTCTAGACATTCTGACTCTGTTGGCTTGGGGTAAGATCCGTATCTTGAGCATGTGTATGTTTAAAAAAGTGTCACATGTGGGGCGCCTGGGTGGCTCACTCATTAAGCATCTGCCTTCGGCTCAGGTCATGATCCCAGAATCCTGGGATCAAGCCCGGGATCGAGCCCCACATCAGGCTCTCTGCTCGGCGGGAAGCCTGCTTCTCCCTCTCCCACTCCTCCTGCTTGTGTGCCCTCTCTCGCTCTCTCTCTGTCAAATAAATAAATAAAATCTTAAAAAAAAAAAGTGTCACATGTAATTCTGATACATAGTAAGGGTTAAGAATTAATAGTACACAATAAATCACCCTGGAATGGGGGAGATCCACATTGTACAGCTGATATTACACAATGATCCCAATAGACTACTCCAATCCAACCTGATCCAGTCAGTAAGTATGTATCAAAAACTTTGGAGCTCAGCAATGGTCAGGACACTTGACAAAGTGGAGCTGTACAGTGCAGGAAAGAAGCTGTAGTCCACTGGAAACTTTTCTGTAGATAAACTTTGATGATGTTTGTGACGGTTAATTTTACGTGTCAACTTGCCTGGGCCAAGGGATACCCAGATAGCGGGTTAAAGATTATTTCTATGTGTGTCTGTGAAGGTATTTCTGGAAAGGATCAGCATTTGAAATGGAGGACAATGTGGGTGGTCCTCATCAAAACCACTGAGGGCCTGGAACAGAACAAAAAGGTTCCTACCCAAAGCATTTAAAATAAAATCCGATCCCCCTCATCTTGGCTCACAGGGTCCTGCATGATCTCACCAGTCTCTTCTCAAGGCACTCTGCCTGTGAGTCACTCCCTACCCTCCTGCAACAGCATTCTAGCACCCGTCCTGGCTGTGCTACCGTCCAATCAGCTTCTGAATACACTGTTCCCTCTGCCAGGACTGCTCTATGCCAACCTTCATAGATGGCAACTCCTTCCAATTTGAATTGATCACCCCTTCCTCTCATTCCTTTACAGAGCAATTGGTTTATTTCCTTCATAGCAAACAGCAACTCTTGTAATTATGCACTTTGTTTTCCCATCTTGCCTACAAGGCTGTAAGCTTCCTAGGAGGGGCCTTATGTGTCTTGTTCACTATTATATTCCCAACATTTAACCAGCTGGCACTGAAAAAAAAAATCTGTTGAATAAATGGTGAATACTAAGATAAACAAGACAGTCTTTACTTTTAAGAAGTGCACAACCTATCTGGTATGGCAAATAAACTCTGCAAAGGAAGAAGGTAGAAGAATCAGGAGAAGGGGTCTTAAATAAATTCCATCTTGCTAGGGTGAGAAAAGGTGAGCAAGGCATTCCAGACAGGGTCAAGAGCTTAAGCCACAGAACAAAAAAACCTAAATGTGTGGTATTCTGGCAGAGGTCTGATTTGGCTAGAGTGGACTGTGCCAAATTGATAAGGACCTTAAATGCTCCCAAAAGTTTAGGTAATGGTTTGTAAACAAGGAGCATCATAGGTTTTTAAGGGGACTGACAGCGAGATCTTAGAAAAATCACCCTGGCAGCAATGTATGTGTGTATATGTGTGTGTTAGATCCCTAAGAGGCCATAGCAAGAAAATATGTCAGATGAAAAGTCTGCTTTTGGAACAGCCTTTTCCAAAGAAAAGACAAATGTTATTTCTCTGCTTTATGTACAAGCCTGAGTAGAGAAAAATTTATTGAAAAAAAAAGTTACAGGTACTAATATAGATAGCAGCCAGAAACTGGAGTTATCCCTCTGTCACCAATTAGCTAGGCCAACCAACAAATATCAATAAATCGAAGAATACTGTATGTCTGAAAGAATTTCTGATAACACAGGGCACAATCATCAAAGGGTTAAAATCCAATGGTAATTCAAAAAACAAAACGAAACGGATCTTGCCTACCGATCCTTAAGAGGGCGATTTTGCCTCTTCTACAAATATATATGGTGGCACAAGAAAGACAGAGCCATGCCACCAGCTGTCAAGGGTGTAAACAGCGCCATTTCTTCCACCAAACAGTCCCGAGCGCTGAAGGAACTGGCATTTAACCACCCTTACCAGCAACCGGTGTTATTTTTGGAACGGATGCTGGTAATGTAGGAAACCCAGAGCCTACAGGAGAGAAGTCACCTGTATCGCACCACCGGAAATCACTACCAAAACACAAAATCCAACATGCAACCATGAGGAGGAAGGCTGGCAGCAAAACAATTAGCAAGCACTGATGTCCAAAAGTGAACCCTGCGAGATATTATGGTGCCACGGAAGTCGCACCTGAGGGTCAAGCGGTCGCCCCACCTGCCCACTCTGGCGCCGCACTCCGCAGGCCCGGGCCCAAGCAGAAAGGAGCGCTTGGCCCGGACAGGGGCTTTTCCAAAGCGTCCAGGGCTGGGCCAGAGCGGGCGGAGACCAGCAGGACGGCGTGTGGTGGGCACCGGGGTCGACGGGGCGGCAGCGGGGAGCAGTGCCTCCCCACCTCACAACCGGGCCTCGCCGAGGCCTGGGAGAGAGGATTCTCGTCGCTCCTCCGGCCCGGGCCCTGGACCGCAGGAAGACCTAAAGGCGGGGCCCTTTCCGCCCCCGTCTCACCCAGGCCCCGGGGCGGCTCCACAGGATCAGGGCGGCCCTCGCGTCACCTTCTGGCTGACGCGGGAGTCTGGGTCCTGTCGGCGAGCCGGGCCTCCGTCCCTCCTGCCTCACTGTCTCCCCCCACCCCGTGGCCCCACCCCTGCCATGCGCGTCCTCCCATTACTTGATTAGGTCCCGGTAATCCAAGAAGGATAAGATGAGGAGCAGGGGATCGGTGGGCAACGATTCTAGGGTCAGCGGCGCTGACTGGGTCTCCATGGCCGCCATCTTGCCTGGCCCGGTGCAGGCCTGGCCCCGCCCCGGCCCCGCCCAGACCCCGCCCCCCGCCGCCACCGCCCGAGCCGCTCCCCAGTCGCTCGTACAGGTTTATTATGTAACCGCCGGGACAGCCCCGCCCACGGGGCGGGCCGAGGGGCGGCTCCCGGCCGCCCCCGCCCCTCGGGCCCAGCACCGGTGCGGTGCGACCCCGCTGCAGCTGGGATCCGTGTTCCTCCACGCTGCGCGAGCTCCGCAGGCTTCCCCCCTGCTACCCATCACATCTCCCGCGCTCTCTCCTCCCATTCCGATCCTTAAACTTGCCCAGCCCGTAACCCTTTCAGTCTGTTCCAAATCTTCTGCCTGGCTCTATCCCCGTACGCGAAATTTTACACCCGGTATCCTCGAAGCCAGGCCCCAAATCTCACCCTAAATCCTCTCCGCCCTTGGCCCCCAGATCCTTCGCTTCTCTTCGTCTTCCGACCTAGAAACTCTTCGTTTTCCCCCTCAGCCTCCCTCGCCCTGCCTGTCCCTAGCGCACAGCAAGGTGGCTCGGAGCCTTGTCCACTCAGTAGGGGCAGAGTTGGGGATCAGCCAGAGGTGCAAGGCTCCACTCCCAAACTGGGGAAATGATCGTCGAGGGCATAATTTTAACCCCTTCCCTGAGTGATAGGTGCACGGGGACTGAATCTAAAGATCAGCCGCTCTCACTTATTTGGTCTTCACGGTGATTTTTCAGCCTATTAGGGCAATGCAAAGTGTATAGTAAATGGATTTTCGCCCCCCAAGGTTTAATATCCAAGGGTTCAGTACCTTGGGTGTGAAGAGATGAGCTGAGCCTGCCAGTGGGCGTCGTTGAGGCACAATGATTGCCCATCCTTAGCTTTGCGGGTGGGAGAAGTGTCATGGATCGTGAGCTAAGGAATACACACTTACCTGAATCCTTCTTTTCCCTTGCTTTTCCAAAGGCAGCCTGCTGTAAGGGACTTTGGGGAGCCCAGTGAGACCTGGACATCACATATCTGTCATATACTTTAGTAGAAGTGAGATGGACTAGCTAACGATGCATAAACTCTATGAGCCTGTGGACTCATCTCTAAAAACCCTCCCTCCCCTAAAGTGGTTTATGGATGGTAATGAAGCCTTGTTTTTGTAAAGTACCTGGCTAGATATTCAATAAATATTAATTTCCCAAGCCTATGCATAAATCCATTACTAAGTTTTCCAAACGTTTCCATATCCTGGAGAGGGTTTCCTCCCAACCATTTGGAAAAGTGGAAATAATTCCACCGCCCACCCCAAACCGCTCCATTTCCTCAATTCATTAATGGTAATTAATGCTTTATATTTATGATTTTGTCTAATATTTATAACTCCTCTCCCCACCACACATACATGTATTAATCATTTTTTTTAAATTTTCTGTATGTTACGATGTTTTGATCCTAAAAATCTTGCTCTCCCGGGAAAGACTGCCCTCCTAGGGCTAGCTAATTCCTAAAGCTAGCAAACAACTTGGTTGGGAGATGGCCTCTCACGGGCAAGCCAACCACTCCCTTTATCTATCTCTCACACACCAAGCCAGTATTTCCCCTGCCCTAAATCATCTGAGGGCCAGGTACCAGGCAACTAGAGAACACACTTAGAGCCCAAAGCCCATCATGTATTGTTCAAACTAGCCAGTCCTAAGCCGTTTAGTCTGTCCTGCTCTGCCTTCCCAGTGGAAACCCTAATAAAGTCGCTGTGATGTAGGAAAGAACATTAGGGTTTGAAGCCAATTGCCAAGAAAGAATTCTTGAGACGTCTGGTGCAAAAAGGTGATTTTTATTAAAGCATGGGGACAGGACCCGTGGGCAGAAAGAGCTGCATTGGGGTCATGAGCAGTGGCCCATTATATACTTTCAAGTTGGGAGGGCATTAGGGATAGTGTATGTCTAGGGAATTTGGAAGCAAGGTTTCCAGGACCTTGAGGGGGCTAGCTATTGTTGGGAAAAGGTCATTTATTACCATCTAATAAAACCTTAGTCATGAGACCCTTCAGATGTATATCAGTGGGCCATATGCTTGGGGGGGTGATTGCCAACCCGTATCTTGGGGGGTTTAGAGATAAAGGAAATTTCTAAAGGAATTTTTATATGTTAAAGTAGACTTATAGGATCCTGGGATGGGGGGTCAGGGTGGTCAGGCTAGGATTGTCTTTTGCCCTTAGGAAAGTATTAACATCGAGGCAGTCGAGTCCCTAAAGGAATGTCATTCTGCCTGTTTCAAGGACTTGTCAACGGGCTTAGGTAGTAAGGAAATTTAATAATTTTTCTTCTCCCATTGTTTACCACATTGCCTTGCCTACACTTTCCCCTCGCTCCTTCTTCTGCATCCTAAGAAAACCTGATGCTTCCACTGTGGCCCTGCATGGTGTAATGCACCCCCTTCTCTAAGGAAATGTAATAAAAATCTTCCAGAGGCATTGGCACACTCATCACTCACTCACCTCCATAAGTTCAAATCCCAGCCATACGAACGAGACACCCACCTAGGGAAAACCACAAAAACTAAAGCAAAAAAAATCTCTGCTCACATCTCTGTAATTCCAAACTATTTATGGACCTATTCAGAGCATTTATTGCGTTGGATTTGGGTCGGTTGTTCCCTATTTGTCTCTCTCACCAGATTGTAAGCTCTCAGTCTTTTTTATCCTTGTAACTCCAGGGCCTAGCACGGCATTCAACAAGTAGAAAAGTTTTAATTCAGGTTGAGTGAATGAAGACAGAACGGTCATTTCAGTTTGCCAGGGAGCCATACCTGTCTATAGGTAAATGCTTATAAAGGCACTTGATTCTAATTCATGTTTGTCTCTATTTCTCCCTCAGATAAGCTATTGAACTTGTTTTAAGTTCAAAAATTGGGGGGTAGTTTTAAGTACACTGCATTCGCTTCTGCTACCCTATTGTATTTTCCTTTTTTTCTTTTGGACTTGCTCCAGAACTAATGAAAAGACCACAAGTATGTTACCCTACTGCCATGGCCGAGATTAAGGTGAGATGAGAGAGGTATTCACCTGGGGCACAACATTTAAAGGAGTGCCAAAAAAAAAAAAAAAACCCCTCAATAATCAAGATAAGTAATATTTTAATGCAGTATTTTTTAAAGCAAAATTAATGCAAAAATCCATGAACAGAACACCAAAATTCTAAATAAAAGCAGGATTCTACAGTGCTGTTCAAGCTGTATGGGAGCCTAATGTTGTGGGAGAGCTAGATTCTAGCCTCATGGAGTCAAAGAATGCATCTCTGGGACAAAGGAGAGTGAGTAAAGCGATAGAAGTTTATTAAGTGAAGATACAGCAGAAATTCTCAAGAGTGAGAGCGGTCTCGACTGGCTTGCCACTGAGGGCCTTTAGGGTTGGTTCTTTTATAGAAAGCTAACCAGGGACCTTGAATCCTTTTAATTAACATCTCTATTGATATCACCATTGAGCAAGGACTAGTGATAACACTTTCAATGGCTTACTTCCTTTTTAGGGTCTGGTTATTCTTTGTTGGTCACAAGTGATTATCATAAAAAAGACACCCACCCCACACACCTAGGGCAGGGTGGTCCGGTTTGTTCCCTTATCTTTGGTTTCCCCACACCTCCACATTTTGGGGATTTCTATGAGCCTGATCACATAGCCCCCAACTTCTCTCTCCCTACCTATCCCCTCCTGTCCCTTACTCATTAAGGCAAAAGGAAAGAATGTATACCAAAATACATGTTTTTACGTCTTTTTAAATGGTTATTTTTTTTCCCAGAAGGCAGAGGGGTGCTGAGGTGGAGGACTTGCTTCTCCCAGGTAGTGAGGTTCAGAACTCCTGCTATCCTCCCTAGCCCCTCTTTCCCAGGCTGCTAATTGTTTTGGATGCTACTCTTTAAATGGAACAGAAGGATTTCACTAAAATAGTATTTGCTTGCCATTAATATTCCTATGGTAGATCAGAAAGCACAAGGTGAGGGCACCTGGGTGGCTCAGTCAGTTGAGCATCTGTCTGACTCTTGGTTTTGGCTCAGGTTGATCTCAGGGTCCTGGGATGAGCCCTGCATCCTGCTCAGGACTCAGTGGAGAGTCTGCTTGTCCCTCTCCATCCCCCTTTGCCCCTCCCTTTCCCCTTTTGCCCCCCCATAAATAAATGAATGAATAATAAATTAATTAATTAATTAAATCTTAAAAAAAAAAAGAAAGCACAAGGTTCTGAAAGAAGAATTCATCCATGGCATTTTTAAAGAAAAGTTTTTTCTACTCTCAGGAATAGATAACACTTGAGAAATAAATACACTTACATATTTTCTTCAGAACCCCAGTGTCGGGTGCCTGGGTAGCTCAGAAGGTTAAGCATCAGCCTTCAGCTCAGGTCATGATCCCAGGGTCCTGGGATGGAGTCCTGCATCGGGCTCCCTGCTTAGCGGAGAGCCTGCTTCTCCGTCTCCCGCTCCTCCTGCTTGTGCGTGCATGCTCTCTCTCTCTTTCTCTCTCTCTGTCAAATAAATAAATAAATAAAATCTTAGAACCCCAGTGTCACTTGGGTCTATGGTGTAGAGTTTCTAGTGCACAATGCCCTACCTATAGACAATTCCATTGTAGTTTAATTGGCTTCCAGGTTCCCATCCACTCTTCCAGTAAATCCCATACTCATTCATATTTTATCACGGGCAAAGGTCGGGCTCAGGCCTCTAAGGAATCAAGATGAACACAGTGCTTGGTGCTCCAACTTTGATGCCATCACTCTAACTGCCATCACTCTAACCCCTAACTGTTGGGTGGGGGAGAGACAATCCGCAGGGCTCAGGAGGTTCATTTTCTCCCTCATTTGTCAGGGTTTAGCAGCTAGCTGCATCAGCAGATGTGAGTGTGCTGGGAGGCAGGACCGTGATCACCAGATACTGAGTTCTAGAGGCTTCTGCTGAATGGTGGCCTAGCTGTGCCCTGCCCCCCCCCCCCCATATGTGAAACACCATAGTTTAGGGGCCCTCTCTACTGAGCACTTTCTGGGATGTGCCCAGTCTTCTGCCCAGCCTAGTGCACGGCTCAGGG